TTACATTAGGATATGTGATCCAGTGTGAGTTAATTTTTGAGAGGGTTCCAACTTCATTTTTTTTTTTTGATATCTAGTTGTCCTAGTGCATTTGTTGAAAAGACTGTTTTTTTCCATTAAATTGTTTTTGTGCCATTGTCAAAAATCCATTTATCATCAGTAGAGGGGCTTATTTCTGGACTCTCAGTTCTGTCCCACTTATCTATACGCCCGTCCTCAGTAGAGGGGGTTATTTCTGGACTCTCAGTTCTGTCCCACTTATCTATATGCCCGTCCTCATGCTCATAGCACATTGCCTTGATTACTGCAGTTTTGTAGTAAGTCTGGAAATTGAGAAGTATGTCTTCCAACTTTTCTCTTTTTCAAAATTGTTTTGGCTAGTCTATATTTCTTGAATTGCCATATGAATTTTAGAATGAGTTTGTCAGTTTTTGCAAACAGAACAAAACAACACAGCTGGAGAGGTCAGAAATGGTCGGATTCTGGTGAGATTTAGAAAATAACTTTGGCAGGATTTGGGGCCAAGGATGACCCTCAAGGTTCTGGCTTAGGAGCTGATGACTGAAGAGGGGAAGAGGAAAACCCCGAGTCCCGTAAGAAGCAGATATTGTGGGCAGAGAGGAAGCAAAAAGGAGAGGGCGTCTGACATGGGGTGGCTGGGTGGCTGGGAGGCGCCGGTACAGGTGACCGACACGTTGCGGGTGAGTGTTTGCCACGGAAGGAGGGACGGACACGCACTGCGGTGATGCGTATGGGCCCTCACATGCCCTGTGAACATGAAGCCGCCTATTGTTTCAGTAGAGATGTGGGTGGAGGCCAACGGTGCTGGGGAGTGAGGAAGAGTCAGCAAGGTGTGTAGTTATGAAGCAGGAGGAGATGGAGAGGGGGCCGGGCTGGGACGTGCGGTCAAGAGAGACTGTTTTTAAACATGGATGCCTCAAGCCTGTTGAAGAGTTGGAAAGAGTGTTTCAGTATTCCAGAAGAATGGAGGGAAGAGTTGATCTTCCTGGGAACTTTAATTGACAGTGGGAAGGAGGTGGAATAAAGTCCAGAGGGACAAGCCGGCTCAGCAGAGAGGCAAGACCCCACCTCCTTTGCTGGAGCTGGAGGAGGGCTGAGGGGTGCATGGGAGAATGGAGGTGTGGGCTCCTCTCAAGCGACTACCCTTCGCCTCCTTGCATACTGAGGGGCGGGCAGTAACAGCTCCTGGCCCCAAAGGCAGCCCGAGTCACCGGAGATGCAAAACCGAGTGAAGACCAAAACATTTGGCTTTCCACACTTACCACCTGAACTCTCACTCGGCCTGCCTGTTGTTTTGTTCTTGTTTTCAGAGTGCGGAGGTTTTGCACAGGGGAAGGGGGTCGGGTTGCCAGGGCTGGAGTGGATCAGAGCTAACCGCCACAGGGATTCCCACCCAGAGGCCCAGGGGACACACCATGGGGGCAGTGGGTTCAGGCCAGATTCCAGGCCACCCAGCCAGCATGAAAGCAACCATGGTCACCCGTGTGGGGTCCCCCGTGGGGTTGTGCATGCCGGGAGGAAGTGTGCACTGGCAGTGGGTCAGTGGGCAGCTGGGGTGTTAGCTCTGGGTCAAGGGGGCTCTCCTTGCCATGACGACAGGAGGAAACCTTGGGGTAGGCCAGCAGCACTGCCTGGGAAGAACGCAGCAGAGTACTGGCTTTCAGTGGAAATGTCCGTTTGGGGCCTGGGTCAGGCTGGGCTCCAGTTTGCAGCGATGCTGAGTTGGAAAAAGAGGGCTTCGTTAGGAGAGGGACAGACAGGGGCTGCAGCTCAGCTCTGCACATCTCCCTGGCGTGTGTTGGAGTCTCCGGCCAATGAGGGGCGGTTCCCTCTCCTCTGGACCCATGTGCATCGGTCTCAGCTGAGCAGGCCCTGTTTGTTTACTGGGTTTTTCTGCCCACCGGAGCTCCACACAAGTGAGTCTGGGGCCACTGTGGGGACAGATATGGGGTGACCTTGAGCAGGCAGGACTCCAGGTGCAAAGATGTCGGGTCCCCAGAGAGGGGTCCCAGCCAGTGCTGCCCTCTGGGTGCCGTGCTCAGGATGTTGCGGTCTCTGAAGTTCCGTTTCCCATTTGCGTCGATGAGCAGGGATTCAGATTAACTCACGAGAAACTTAATAACCCAGGAGAACAGGCTCGTCTGGATGAAAACCTCCACTTCACTTCAGATTCCCGACAAGAAAGTCCACGGTGATGGCAGAAGTGCTGACGTCCTCTTGGGTTCACTTCCAGGCTCATCCATGTGTGTCTCTCCATCTCCAAATAATTCTTTCCCTCTCACTTTATGGGTGAAGAACTTAAGTCTCAGAGAGGGTAGGGACCTGCTGGTCAGGCCTGAGTTGGCAGCAGTGCCCTGTGTGAGCTCTGTGGACCCTTGTTCCTGTTCCTACCACAGAGTGTCCATGGAGCAGCACGGCTCCTGGAAGGAAGGGGCGTCTCTATGGAACCCTCCACATTCCTGTGGCACGTTTTCCTTCAGCACGTGGCCCCAGATGTTGTTTTGGTGCATGGCGGCTTAATGTGCTGCCAGGGATGCCGATTGTGTAAGAGCCTGTAGACAGGAGAGCTTTGTCTGGGGTGGAGCCTACTGAGCCCATGGGGCAGGGCTTGGCCATACACAGGCCCCAGTGGGGGACAAGAGGGCCACAGGAGAAGAACTGGCATACCTTACTGGGCTTCTAGTAGTGATTGTCGTTTGCTGCCAAGGCATTTCCTGGAAAAGGGAGGCTAAACCGTGTCAAGGTTGAGCCGGGTCCTCGAGTCCTCATAAAGGAGGTTCTAAGCTTGGGGGTATGTACTTTGATTACTTGTGTGCTCTGTATCCCAGGGGTTTCACCAGGTGCCATCTGCTCTTTTGCCCAGAGAAGCTCGGCCGCTTTGCTGCCTCAGGGAGGCAGGAGGGGCTCTTTGGAGCAGCAGTTGATCCCCGGGATCCTAGGGCTTTGCCTAAGTAGATGTGGGGCCTCAGGGGTCAGGACTTCAGAGCCCAGGGCTGACTGACCTAGGGACAGGAGTGTAAGCGTGTGGGCAATGAAGAATTCCGCAGGGCTTTATTTCTAGACTCCCATGGGTGTGTGTGGGTGGAGAAGCCCCAGTGAGCTGCTTATCTACAATCAAACAAAACTGGAGGTCCCTTTGCAGAGACTCTTGCAGTTCATATCCATGTGGCTTCTCTGAGAAGCAGGAGAGCCTCAGAGCGGAAGTCAGGGGAGTCGTACTGGGGAGAGGCAGCATCTCCTCTGGAACACACAGACCTTGTGTCCTTCCCTCCAGCTGTCAGCCAGACGGGCCCCAGTTGTCTTGCATATTTACATACGTAACAGTGACAAGAAATTCTGCCTGAGCCTTGCCAATCAGCCCAGTGAGCAGGTTTCTGCAGCATCTTGTCTCCTGGGACAGATACTTGGAAAGTGAGCCCTGTGCACTTCGGGGCCTTGTCTCTCAGCTTCTGTTGTCACCATAAAAAAAGAGACACGGAGAACCCTATGCCCCATCTTCAAAGTGTGAAGCACTCTCCCCGGCTGGCACGATTCTTGTTGGTTCACTTACGGAATCTTCCCATGTGTTTTTCCTCCCGATACCCCACATCCCTGTCACAGAGTTGAGAACTGGATTACCTGGTGGGCAGGCTGGGTCCCAGTTAGAGGCACCTCACACTGGCTCAGTGCAGATGACCAGTGGCAGATGGAACCCAGGGGGCCTAGAGGTCTTGGGTTATGGGGAAACTCCCGCAGCTCCCTCCTCACTAGTCCAGGCACCGGAGCATGCGGTGGGAGCCCTGTCATCTCAGCGACTGACTTACAGCTCAGTGAGGGGAGGCACAGAGTAGGTGCCGAATCTGAGTGGTTTTCCTTGACGGCCAAATCAGCTTTCCTCTGTGTTTCTGCTCCGGAAGGTAATCCGAAGCCCTTTACTGGGATGGAAGCATTTCCAGATAAGAAGAGGATGCTGTGGCCACAGCCACAGGGCTGCCTGGGGCCAGGAGTGGCCAGAATCCTAGAGAAAAATTGTTTGGGGATGCACCTCAAAAACACGAGGAAAAGAAAGAAAATGGGTGGGAACAGTGTGCCTTCGGCAGAATCCAAACTCACTTCCAAGGCGAAGCCAGAGCAGAATGCAAGAATATTCATTCCCTGTTTTTATTGTTGGTTACTTAATGACCTTCCTTTGAAATGCTGCAGTTATGTAGAAAGCAGGTTGTCATGGAAACGGGGAGTGACGTGCAGGGAATAGGTACACAATGCATTTCTTTGTCATGTCCAGCTGATGCACTCAGCCTCTGCTTAGACATGGGAATTTATTGAGGAATTAAATATTAACTGGAGGCATTGCCCTGGAGAGAGGCAGAAACACAGGGTGAGAAAAGATGCTGGAAACCAGGGCAAAGAGCATGCTGAGGCCCCTGGGATCCTGCGGGAGGCAAAGCTGATTGGAGACCATGGGTGGATCTCACTTTCTTCAATCAATGGGCTCCAGAGAAGTCGTGCAAAACAATCTTCTTTTTCAAATGCATATGTACTGTGCATTCTTTTGAGGGGAAGAAGGATCTGGTTGTAAGGCGAATAATTACTCAGTAGTCAGCTCATTTTCAAGGTTGGTGAAATGCCAACTTTTCTCAAGGTGGGTTTCAGCTGCCTTGTCCCAGCAATCTTTGGTGGGCGTGGGTGTCAGTGGGAACCAACACCCACCCAGGGCATGTTCCATGAAACGGCACCAGAGCTGGGACAACGGCGCAGAGGATCGCAGGTGCTGGAAGACTCCAAGGAGGCTCCCGAGTCAGAGAGAAGTTGTCTCTTGTCCCTGAAACGGCCATGGAGCCATGACCTTGTCTGTTTTTCTGGTGGATTCCAGGAAATGGGGGTTGAATATATGATGTTTTAAAAAGTGCCCCAAGTTTCTCACTTTCTCCCCTTGAGCCAGCATGGCTGGCACCCACCAAGCCTTCCTTTTCTGACCTTGTGCCTTTTCAAACCCTCAGAAAATGAGTTCCGCGGTGAGCTGCTGAATCAGAGGTGGACACACGGAGGCAAGGCCAGCAGCTGCAGGACCTCAAGACACCTTCTTGGCAGACACTGCAAGGTGAGGCGTGAGAGGGCAGCCCCTGTCCTGGGGCCCCGCCCCGTGGCTGCCTGCAGGAAGCCTCTCTTTGGCTGCAGGCATGAAGCGTGGAGGCGACTTCGGGTCTGATCCTCACCAGAGTCCAGGTTAGGCGAAGGGTAAATGGGGACTAGGATCAGCAATGCTCTGGTCACTTTAGAATTAAGGGAAGAAAAACGACTCTGAGTAGATCAAAACTAAAATGTGACCCCAGGTCAGGCGCTGTGACTCACACCTGTAATCCCAGCACTTTGGGAGGCTGAGGCAGGTGAATCACTTGAGGTCAAGAGTTCCAGACCAGCCTGGCCAACACGGTGAAACCCCGTCTTTACTAAAAATACAAAAATTAGCTGGGCTGTAGTTCCAGCTACTCGGGAGGCTGAGGCAGGAGAATCGCTTGAACCTGAGAGACAGAGGTTGCAGTGACCCAAGATTGTGCCACTGCACTCCAGCCTGGGTGACAGAGCAAGACTCCATCTCAAAAAACAAGCAAGCAAGCAAGCAAGCAAGCAAAAACCACCAAAATGAAAACGTGACCCGAGTCTCACTTCCCTGCTTTGAGGTATGATCACATCTGGGCTCTGTGTTGTGCCTGAGCAACTGTTCCCTATTCACCCTGCTTTTACCTGGGCAGGCTGAGAATCCCTACAGGATCTGACAGCAGAGATTGCTGGCAGGAACTTATGAAGTCTGTTGGCCTTGTTTTATTTCGATCTTCCTAAAGGGAGGCAGATGGTGCAGGCCCTTCTTGTACCTTCCCAGGATATAAGATCTCCCCTCGGGGACACTCCCAAACTGTGATATCACATGTGCTTACAGCCACTGTTCTCCACCACCAACCCTCTAATTCTAGAACTTCCCACCAATACTGTCTGGGTGCAGCCAGGTCCCAGGGTCAGGTGACCCTCACAGCTGGAAGTAGAGGCTGACAACAGGCTTAGGGTGAAGCCTTCCCAGATACCAGTTTCTGACCTCTCTTTTTTCGCATGTAGATGCTTTCCAGCAAGGATCCAGCTGTGACTCAGGGCACGGCTCAAGGACGGTGATGGCGCAGGGTGTAGGCAAGGAGGGCTATGCAGTTGCGGTGGGAACTTCATTTGGGGGTGCTTTTTTTGTATTTTACTCTCAAAGCCCAACCTTTTTCTTTTGAATCTGGTGACGAGAATGTACATTTTAATGGGTCTGTTATAGATGCCTCGTTAAGCGCCTCTGCTCATGTTTTGGCTCCCACAGGATTATCAGTGCTCTGCTGATCCACACTGGAGCCTGAGGCACAAGGAGGAGTCAGTAATATTGATCCTGTCTTGATTTAAAGTTTTGGTATCTTGTTTATCATGGTTTTTTGCATCATGTTGATGTTTCTAAATATTGAATTAAAATATTATTTATCTTGGTCATTCAGTTTTTGGCCTCATTCCCCTTGCCCCACCCCAAACCCCGAGGATTCACATAGAGCTGTCCTGGCCTGAGATCATGTGAGCATGAGAGTTACTTGATTTGAGGCCAGGGGCTCTGCGTGCAGTGTTATCTGCAAATGTCTGGTGCCATGCCAGGGGCGGGTAAGAAGATTTTTGTCTCCCCCTGGCCCAGGCATGACAAACTCAGAGAGTTTGGCACCTACATGGACAACCCACGGCTGTTCAAAGTGCTGCTTCTGTGAACAAAGCCAGGGGCCCGTGCCCAGATTCTTGTGGCGTCACCAGCTCTTTCATCTCTCTGTTTGAGGGTCATTTCCTTATTTCCCTTCATTTCTTGCAGATAGGGCCTGAGTTACTGCTCTGAATAGAGAAGCTAAGATGTAAAGTGTGCCAGAGAAGGTGAGAGGATGAGAAAGGGTCGACTGCCTAGATAGAGGACTGTGGGGCAGGTGCAGGTGGAATCTCCTGACTAAGGAGGCTGAAGAGGGTGACAGTACAGGGATGAGCTGTGGTCACAGTGCGAGAATGTCACACAGCCACAGCAGCATCAGGGTCAGCCTTCCAGAGGGTGGCTTAGGACAGGAGACGGGTGAGGTGAGGAGCCAGCATGGGAGGGCAGTGAACACACAAACCCTGTGCAGGGGACTGTGACAGCCTGCGGCATGCCTCTGAGTTCAGCACCAGGCATGTGGACAGCTCAGGACCGGTTGGAAGGGGCTGCCAGAAAAGTCAGGTGGTGGTGTGTCAGTGGGGTGTGCAGGCACTGATGGTAGCTCCTCAACCCCCTTCTTGCAAATTATTCAGTGGATGACTGTAGAGATACGGAATCAAGGAAAAGATCAGTTGCATAGCCATTCAGCCAACCCTTCTTCCCGCCACCCAGGGCAGGGGGGTGCCTCAGGCAAGGACTACTGGATAGAGGCTCCTGCAAGGGAAGGAACTGCCAGTGGGTATGGCCCTTCTGGCTTGCCTCACTTGATGTTGTTGGATTCTACCCTGGGTGGGTATAAATTCCACTTATGCTGGAGTTTTTAACAGATGGATGCAGATATGGCTGCTTCATCAGGGTATCCATTATGTAGCTCTAATTTTTGATTTGGGAGTGAAGTGAGCCAGTATCCCATGCTTAGAGCTGTCAAGAGAACCCCTTCTCAGACATGTGTTAAATAATGCCCCATGGAGGTGTCCTTTCTATATTCCAAGGAGGAGGCTGGTCTATTCTGCTGAATTTGTCAGGAGAATTTCAGAATTTCAGACATGCAACAGGAGTCACCCAATGTGGGGATAGAACAATTTCTGCAAGGAACCAGGGGTACTGTGATGGCTGCCAGTGGGGTGCAGGGGTGGGGGCATATGGTTTAGCCTCAGAGATCTAGAGAGTGGAAAGCAGGACGTGTGCCCAGCTCACCGACTTTCTATACCTGTTCTGTGGGCTGAGCTGGCGGGCAGGTCCATGCTCCAAAGAAAGGGAAGGGAAGGGCTGTGGACGCAGCAGGTGATCCTTGTGGGATACTCGGGAGGGGAGCAAGACAATGCTTGAATGCTGCTCTTAGATTGTTGAGTGGGAACGTGGTCTTCCACGATGCTCTCTGCCCTAATGGCTTCACAGCAGTTACAGGGAAGTTGATGCTGCCTCAGTACCTAAGTGAGAGAAGAAAACAGGCCAGACCATGGCTCTGTCTTTCTCCCCTCCCCTCACTGCAGAGAAGTGAGACTGAATGTGTGTGAGGCACTGTTGGAGCCAGGCAGGGTGGGTGATAGCCAGTTTCTGGCCACCTCCTCACCCCGAAGTCTTCATTGGCCCCTTCCTCCCGGGAAGGGGCTGCCTATGGTCCCCTGGGACTCAGCAGATGGGTCTCCGGGAGGAAAACCATTATGCAAGAGGCCCAACCGTCCCACCGAGACACTATAACCTTTGTAATTTTATGGATTTTTAAAGAATAGTTGTCAGTCCATCCTAATTCTCCAGATTTTCTGGCTGTCAGAACACATTTTAAAGAAAATGAAACACTGTCGTGTCTCCTCCTCTGGTCCAGGGCTGGGTGAATGGCCCCTGTGGTGTCAGAACGCCCGGAACCCCCCAGCTCAGGGTTCCCACATATGGCCTGTGTGCAGCCCTCTGACCACGGCTCTCCAGGAGTTCAGAGATGTTTCTGACTGTCCCCATTTATTCATTCATCCACCTGTCCATCCACCCATCCTTAAATGACATGCACTAAGCAGCTCTCTGGAGGAGAGACGATGAGCTTACAACCATGAATGAACGAGCTCATTTCAGATTGAGATGAGGACTGTGAGGGAAACAAACAGGCACAGGGTGGAGACTGAGAGGAGGTGGGAAGAGGCAGGGTGTTGGCCACCCAAGAAAGCTCCCGGCTCTACCTCTGGAGTGCCTCCTACCCCAAATGTCTGCAGGTCACTGATCCATTCACCCTCCCCATCCCTACCTGGCTCTCAAGCCTTAGCAGAGCTCCCTGTTTCTTGAGCTGTCCCCGAGCACTCCCTGCCACCCTGGAGTGATGTACAAACCTTGGGATGCCAGGCTGGTGCCCCTCAGGGCCAGGACACCCTCCTGCTGGGGCCAGGCTTCAGCCAGGATTCTGTCCTTTGACTGGCCCTGGGCCATTGGTGCAGAAGGGATGTGATGGGGTTGAGGGAGGGAGCTGTTCAGCTCTCAGGGCCTGGCCTGGGGAGAAGCATGGAAGAGGAATAAAAGAGGCAGAGAGAGACAGAGAGAGAGTGAATGAGTGAGCGAGGAGAAATGGGTGTCCCTGAGCTGGGGCCCGGAATGGAGCAGGGAGACACAGCCTCTGGGGCAAATGTGGAATTTGGCACGAAGCCTGTTGGGCTTCATGGAAAATATCCAACCCTGACATCTTTGGAAGCTGAGTCCACCACTTCCCCTTAGAGGTTAGACATGAGTGGTTTGTTACTGGCTATGTTTCTGGGTTCTTTTCATTTTTTATTTTTTTTGAGACGGAGTCTTGCTCTGTCACCCAGGCTGGAGTGCAGTGGTGCGATCTCGGCTTACCTCAGCCTTTGCCTCATGGGTTCAGGCAATTCTCCTGCCTCAGCCTCCCAGGTAGCTGGGATTACAGGTGGCTGCCACCATACCTGGCTAATTTTTGTATTTTTAGTACAGTCAGGTTTCACCATGCCTGCCTCAGCCTCCCGAAGTGCTGGGATTACAGGCGTGAGCCACCTAAGAGTCCAGATTCCTCTGCAGGTTTTAAGACTGCTAACTGCATTTGCTTGTTTTGGTTTCTGAGTTTGCAAACACCCAACTCAGGGCACTCTGTTTGAGCAAGGCCAGCATGCAGATGAGTCTGGAAAAGGGGCTGGTCTTTGTAGCACGTCACGGTGAGAACTATGTGTGTGTGTATATATATATACTGTTTTTTTTCTTTTTTTGAGACGGAGCCTCACTCTGTCGCCCAGGCTGGAGTGCAGTGGTGCAATCTTGGCTCACTGCAACCTCCGCCTCCCAGGTTCAAGTGATCCTTCTGCCTCAGCCTCCTGAGTAGGTGAGACTACGGGCATGTGCCACCACACCCAACTAATTTTTGTATTTTTAGTAGACACGGGGTTTCACCCTGTTGTCCAGGCTGGTCATGAACTCCTGACCTCAAGTGATCCGCCTGCCTCGGCCTCCCAAAGTGCTGGGATTACAGGCGTGAGCCACCACGCCTGGCCAGAACTATGTCTATTTTCAAAAGAGCTTACATGATTAATCCTGACTTAACTAAAAAGAAATATAAAACAGAACAAAGCAAAAACACACTTTTGAGGAGACGGCTTTTATATGGCACTAAGAAAGCAAGTTAAATGGGTGGACAAGGAGACAGTTCTCTCGGGTTAATTTGGCAGTATACAACGTATTTGCATTTATGAATTATTCTCCTCCCCATAGTTTTCATGGTTTTCCTACTGAAGGCAGAACTATTGAAATATTAATTACAGCCTAAGACATGCTCGCAGTGGCAGAATGACGTTGGCATTGGAGAAACAGAGCAGACGTTCTTGAGGGAGGTTGCCGGCCCAGCAGTGCGAGTGGGTAACGGGGTCATTCTGTCTCAACAAAGGGACCTTTTCGCCCTCAAGGGGAGGGGGCACTGGGCTATTGGTGGGTCGCACAAAAAAAGGGACCTGGTTGGTTTGTGTTTGGAACAAGTGAAGTGTGTTTTAAAAATCAATGAAAAATTGAGAAGTGTTTAATTTTCTTTGCATCATTGAGCTGCCCTTTGGGGCCCAGCTGCCACTGTGTGGTGGGGGCAGAAGGTCTGGGGGGCTGCCGCCCAGTGATCGCCAAGGTGAGCGTGGGTGGTGCTGGGCACAGGGCCACCCCAGCACCCGCTCTCCATCTACCACGTCAGGGTGCTGATCTTGTTGCAGGAGGAGAGCAGAGAATCCACCTCTGAAGTGCTTTGAGTTCTTTCGAAAAGAAAAATAATGTAAATCAGGCAGTGCTGGTTTTGTCATGGCCTAGCCCAGATGCTTTCGTGTCAGCCGGCACTGCTGATTTCAAACAGCTCAGAAACCAGTGTCCCAAGTCACCCAGCTCTTACGGATTCATTCTCATATTAAAGAGCCTGGTTTTTTTTTTTCCTTTGGTAGGTCAGTTTTTTCCCTTTAAAAATCAAAGCTACATGCACCTAAGAGAACTTCTCGCTTACTGACCAGTCGATGCAGATAAATTGCAAATGGTAAGGTGCTCGGCAGAAGGAGAGGCAGAGCTGTCAGCTTCATCAGTGGGAGCTCACAGTTTTCAAGCAGCACCCATTACACATCCCTGCAGTCTCTCTATTCTCTGCTCTTTGAATAATTTATCTGCAGGAAATCCAAATTGCCAAGGCACGCTTTAACCTAGCAGAATGCTTGCCAATATCCTTGGGAAAACTGGCAAAAAAAAAAAAGCTGTAGATTGCATTTCAGCTGAGTGCAGGCACCGCGCATTCAGACACATCAGCTCCATTGTGCGTCCCGCGTCGGAGGCATCGCGCACGGGCTCCGCGCAGACGACATTTGAAGGCTCATAAATGTGATGAAGTCCTGTGACACCTGCTCCTCTCTTCACTTCCACCGTGAGCCGTTGGTCCATGGGGAACCTCCGCTTTACAAATAGAAATTGTAGTAACCGTCTTCTGTTCTATTGGAAGGCGGAAATAAACGCACGGCCGCCAGCACTGTGCTCCACAGCCGGAGTCCACAGGTTGCATAAATTACCCAGGTTTTGATTTTTCTTCCTTAACAAATCACATACATCATTGTATGTTAGTGCTGCTGCATGGGGGAGGTTCAGTTTGCAAATTTCATCTTACTAATTGGGGGAATTCCTTTTTCTTTCTTCCCAGGTGGTGCTGTAGACATTTGTCTCTTGCTGGCTTTCAGAAACTAAAGCCCCGTTTAAGATGTGGGGGCTTCTGAGCCCCCCTCCTGCTGCCTCCCTTCCTTTCTTCTGCTATTTCTTTCCACTCCCCTGCTTTCCCTTTGACTGCCTCACGCATAGAGCCCTGGCAGCTCTGGTATCTGTGGCCTGGGACAGGAGCTGTGGATTTGCTGCCTCCCCTTCCTGACCACAGGTGATGGTGGTGGAGCCCAGCTCTCTCCTCTTGGGCCTCCTGGGATGGAGCATCCCCTGTCCAGCTAGAGGTGCCTCCCTGGCCTGGCGCGGCTCCCTGGGAAGGACGTTTTGCATAGCATGGAGTGGGTGGGATTTACCTGCCTGCCCAGATTTGTCATGGGTGACACAGGACGAGGATTCTGTGTGTGACCCTCGCCCCCCTCGTTCCCCCGGCATGTCCTTTCTGTGATTGTCACCCTCCTGGGGGCTCCCCCATGACTCCCTCGCAGGACAATGCTGTGGGCAGCGTCCCCATGGAGGCTGGTCAGATTCAGGGATCACAGGTGGGGAGGGACACCGATGGGCTCAGGCAAGGCAGCCAGGCCCTTGAGGCCCAGAGAACATATGGGCTGGGGCCGTTCCAGGTTGCCTGTTTCTCACGGAACGACCCGGGTGCGTGAGGGGCATTAAAGCCTTCTGCCGTAGTGGGAAGAAAAGGCCCATGGGAAGCTGTGCTCTGGGGACACGTTGGGGTCAGAAGCCATTGGATGACCCGGCACTGCTGCTGGTGGCCGTGTCTGTGGTGAGCAACCTGCCCTGATGCCTTGGCACCTGCCTGGCCAGGTGAGCAGTGGGTGCTGCTCTGTGTCGGGCCGGGAGACCCTCATGGATAAAACACGGACACTCACCAGGCTTCAGTGGAGCAGGGCCCATGTCTCAGTACTTGGTGGCAGGTGCAAATCTGGGGGCAGTGGGAGGGCATGGTGCACTGTACCCTCCTTGCCAAGGGCGGCGACATACTGATGGGACACTTCCAAGTCTTGTAGAAGGTCCTTTCTCCACACCCTCCCACCTGCTGCTCCTGGCCCCAGGCCTTTCCTGTCTTGTGAGCCCATCCTTGTTGTTCTGTGCCCAAAATCACCTTTGCTGTCAAAGCTTGAGCCAGAAAATGGACAGACCATTCCTGAATGTTCTATACTCCAGAGGCACTGGCTGGGTTTTCATGTTAACCTCATGGCTTTTTGCTTGCAGATGAGCTTAGAAAATGAAGACAAGCGAGCTCGCACCCGATCCAAGGCCCTGCGAGGTGAGTGCTGCCCTTACGTCCTCCAGGGCCGTAAATGCCACTTTCCTCCACGGTCTTCCTTGGGAGCACAAAGCCGTAACCACACGTGTGCAGACACGCCTGGGGACCTCAGGCCTCTTCAGCCTCGTTCATCCTCAGGGCTGCTGCGCTTTGAAGCTGGCATCTCAGAGGGCTGCTGAGGGGCCTTTGGCCCAGATGAACCTGCCTTGAGGGCAGAAATGTAGAGGCAGACTCAGCTCCATGGAGTCGGAGTAGCAAGGCTCCGTTATGAGGCCATTGTTTGGAAATGAGAGGCCACCAGCCTTCCACCAGCAGGCCCCTTCCTTCCCAGGAGATCAGTCTTGGTGCTGATGGGGAATAGGAGGTTGTTGGGTTGAACTGGAAGTGCAGTGGGAGGAGAGGGGGCCAAGGCCTTGCTCACTCTGCTAGGATCTGAGCCCCAGCCGCTGGCCAGACTTACCTCCCTGATCCGTGCAGGAGCTTCCTCTTGTGCCCAAGCATCTCAGGTGTTCCTGCCCTGGTCAGAGCCCCGTGCACCTTTGCAGCCACCACTGAAGGACCAGCCACTTGGTCCAGTTCTCTTCTCTGTCCAGCTTGATCTGGTGGTTTGTGTTTCTTGCCAAAAGCTGACTTCTATCTGCAATTAGAGAAAGAGATACCATCCCTGGCCCTGAGGTCCCAGAGAGCCTGTGTGAGGTGGAGCATCTGTCCCACTCTGCAAAACTGCTCAGGGGAGCTTCTGGGGCGAGCACCGGGCTGGAGGGAGCAGCTCACTCTGTTGACCTTGGAGGACTCTCTGGGAGGTCAGGAAAGGGTGAGGGCCCTGGGGAAACTGCTCAGGTCTCACTGAGATTGCCTCCACTTGTCCTTGGCAAACCTCTCGGCTGTTTAACTTAGTTTATGCTGTTAGGGCAATGAGTCTTTAAAATCACAATTCTCACATGTTTTCCCTGTTTCTCTCTTTTTCCCAGGACCCCCAGAGACCACAGCTGCAGACCTCAGGTAAGGAAGTCTTCCTGTTAGCACCAAGCATCGTCTATGTGCCTGTGACCCTGGAGATATCCTAAATGTCCCAAACGGGGTCTTCTTGGATTGACCAAACACCCCGGTGAGCCCCTGCTTTCCCTAAGGAGACTGCCTTTCTCCTGGCCACGTGTCCAGCTATCTTGGCCCCATCTCTGTCCGTTCTCACCTCTGTCCTGCCCCCATCATGTGGTGTCCCAGCATCATGGCGAGGACACGGATGTGCTCACACCTGGTCACCGAGAGGACCTGGACTGTTGCTGGGTCCCCCAACCAAAAACGAGCCGCTCTCTTAGCGGACTCTCACAAGAGCTTCTGTGTCAGATGGTTGGAGGCCCAGCTTGCGAATGAGATGAGAGAAGGGGATCTTCTACGTCCCGAGTCTTCCATTGGCTCGGGATGCAAACAGCAGTTCTGTGTGCTGATGACCTGGCTGGCTGAGCTCTGTGACCGTTTTCTTCCTGCTTCTTAGGGATACAGATTCCCAGGGCAGGGAGCATCTTATTGTCCAGCAAACCATTGAAGAGTGGATGCCAATCAGGAAAACGAGAGGACTGCAGAGTTCACTTTGTAAACCTTTTGCAGAGGTGGGACGGGAAGACAGTGTCCCTCCTCTGCTTGAGGCCCCATAACGTGGAGATGAACGGGGCAGGGCTACGGGAGGGAGTTGGGGTGCTGCAAGCCCCAGGCTCTGCGCCAGTCGCACATCACAGTCTTGATCTCTGGGAAGGTGATGGAAGCACTGCCTTGTGATGTTATTGTCCTGTTTGTGAAGTGGGGAAACGGAGACTCGGGGGTTAACCCTCCTCTAAGGCGCTGAATCACACGCGCTAACTGCTGGAAGGCCCACCCTGGGTAACAGGTGGGAGGGGTGGGGTGGAACCTCAGCCAAACCAGATCATGTGCCAGCACTTCCAGTCAGGTGTCCTCAGCAACCCACCGGGTGCTCCCCAGAACACAGTCCCCCGAAGCACAGGGGCCGGCTCCCTGGAAGGGAGACACTGTCTGCTTGGCCAGCCTGCTGAGGAAGCAGTGATTGCAATGGCAAGATGCTCAGAGGGGCCCTGAGAAAAGGGAAGAGGAGGTGCCACGTGGCAGTCGCCCGGGGACACGGTGGAGACAAAGATGGAGGATAGTCCCAGGTGAGGGCACAGGAGTAGAGGAAACTCCAGGCTTTTGAGGAACAGATGGAGTGTGGAGGAAGTTGAAAAGGCAAATACAAGTGGCTGGGTGCTCTCTTGTAGATTTGAAATAGCGGAAGAAAAAATGACTGTCGAATAGATTTGTTTGTTTTGAAACGTTCTGAGAGGACCTGTCCAGCCTAAGTGAGGGGTTCTGTGAGCATTTGGATTTTGACACCCTCGTAACCAGCCTTGAGGTCTAACCTACATGCTTGGTAAGAGTAAGACCCTTGATCTTTTTAATGGAGAGACTCGGGGAAAACATGTTGACGTCTCGTGTTCCAACAGCAATTTCTTCACCAATTCTTCATTGCTGACAAGTGATGCTTAAAGTAAAATCAAACAAAGATTATGTTCCAAGGAATCGAATACACTCTGCACAGAAGGTACCATGCATTCCTGTGTTCTCAAACATCTGTTGGCCACACGCTCCACGTGGGCATGCCTGTGGCTCGTGCTGGCTGACTGTGTGCCCCAGCCATAGCGGGAGCATTTACACCACAGAAATGGGCTGATGATGTCTCCCCCTCCCAAAGACCTGTTTACCAGCACACCCTGGGCTCTGACTGGACGAGCAGATGAGACCTCTGTTCTGGTGGGGCCCACACTGTGGGTGGCAGAACAGGAAGCATGACCCACAGAGAACACGCACTGTTGTGGTCTGTGAGAGGAGCACCACGTCCTGTGTGCAGACCGTGGCACTGGATGAGCTCACGGACACAGAGTCACCTGTGGGGAACCCCTGCGTGCAGGACTTTCTCTGTGGATGAGGGACTTAGCACCCCATTGACTCAGAACTTCACGGCCTGCAGTGCCCCTAACCCCAGCTCTTCTCCCCACCAGCTCAGGCGGAGCTCCCGGGAAGACACTCCGTTGGCTGTTTACCAGGTGAACTGAGGAGAGGTTGGACTTGGCTCGAGTTGGACCCTGAGCTGCTGTTTCCGACCTTGGAGCCCACTGGGAGTTTCTGAGTGCCTGAGCGAAGAGGCAGTTTGATGACTTTTCCTCTCACCCAGTGGAAGAACAGATGACATTTCAGCTTGCATTTTTGCCTGGGTCCATCTGTTGTCACATGGCCTCAGACTGGCTCTGCTGGAGGCGAAGACTAGGGAAGGTGAGGGTTGGGGTTAGCATCTTTGAGACAGCAAGTCGCCAGCAACCCCGAGTTCAGGATCATCTCCACGTTCAGAGAGAGAACACATCTGTAGCTCACCCTTCCTCTTCTGGAGCCACTGGCCAACTCCCACCCAGATGACAGGAGGGAGTGGGGGATCTTCTACCTGCCCCAGGGGAGGGAGGGAAGGCAGGGAAGGCAGTGTCTTCAAAGGCTGTAGCTGAAGCACGGGGCTCCAGGCTGGGATTCGGCTCCTCTCCCGACTTGTCTTCTTTGAGGCCTACTTTTCAAGTTTCGGTCCCTCAGAGCTCTCATGCAGGGTGCCAGCTGAGGGGTGACTGTGAGCCACACCCTCTTCCCAGCCTCACGTGCGTCCTTTCCTCGCATCTCTGACACCAGCCCTAGTCAGAGCTGAGGAGTCAAGGCTGGGGAATTCCCTCCTCCCGGAGAAAAGAGGCTCAGGAGTTCTGGAGCCCTGGCCGTCTTCCTCTCCCTACAGCTCTGGCCCTGAGCACCCAGAGGACATCAGTAAATAAGAGCTGGGTGTGCTTGCAGGTGAACTGCAGGGCTGGCATCTGCTGGCATGGCACCCTTGGAGGCCCTGGCTGGGTCTCTTGTCCCCTCGGCTGTGGGGTGGGGAACAGGCATCTAAGGGGTTTCCAGCTTCCTGCCCCGGAGTGGCCTTGTCGGCTCCACGCACTTGGCTCACAGCCCTGTCTCACAGCCTCTGAGCTGGGGCGGGAAGGTGCGGGCCCACCTTTCTGGGGACCGGGACTCTTCGGAGCTGAGGGTGATGTGTTCGGGGCAGTTCGGTCCCCACAGCGGCTGTCACCTAATTACCTGATTAGCTCAGTGATTTCATCGACTGACTGGGACCTTAGCTTCGAGTCCCCAGTAACAAGGAGCTTTTTGTGAAAAGTCTCGAAGCTAGTTCTCCGAAGAGTGAAAGCAAGTGTGGGCCTGGATTTTAGAAGAGACTAGAGGCAGGGAGAGGTGGATGGCGGCAGCAGCAGCAACTCCCTCAGTTTGGAAAGGGAACCCGCAGTAAGTGTGGCGTGCCCTCCCTCTCTCCCTCTTCCTCCCTCTTCCCCTCCTTTCCCGCCTGGGTTCCTTCTTCCCTCCTCCCTCCTTCCTTCCCTCCCTTTCTGTCTTCTTTTTAACACACTGAAAGCACCACCCTGGAAGGCTGCAGAGAACGTCCCATGAGCACTCCCCCACCCCATGGCTGCTGTTGAGTTGGGTGATACAGTGAGGTCTGGATTCTACTGACAGTTCTCCCTGAGGTGGTCAGGGAGGGTGGCCTGCAAGGCCATTGGGCCCCACAGTTGTCTGCAGTCAGGCCTGTGGTCAGTCGAATTAGAAACGATCAGAGGTGTCTGGATAGAGGCTGGGGATGGTGTTCTTTTCTCTGGGTCCCAGGTGTGGGGGTGTCAGCCCTTTCCTTCTTCCCTGGGTCCCAGGTGTGGGGGTGTCAGCCCTTTCCTTCTTCCCTGGGTCCCAGGTGTGGGGGTGTCAGCCCTTTCCTTCCTCCCTTCACAGGCTCTGGAAGATGTGCTTGGGTTTTGGAAAGAGCTCAGACTCACAATGTCAATCCTGTTAAAAACAAGGTCTTCCGATGCAAAAATCCTCAATGAAATACTGGCAAACCGAATCCAGCAGCACATCAAAAAGCTTATCCACCATGATCAAGTGGGCTTCATCTCTGGGATGCAAGGCTGGTTCAATATACACAAATCAATAAACGTAATCCAGCATATAAACAGAACCAAAGACAAAAACCACATGATTATCTCAATAGATGCAGAAAAGGCCTTTGACAAAATTCAACAGCCCTTCATGCTAAAAACTCTCAATAAATTCGGTATTGATGGAACGTATCTCAAAATAATGAGAGCTATTTATGACAAACCCACAGCCAATATCATACTGAATGGGCAAAAACTGGAAAAATTCCCTTTGAAAAGTGGCACAAGACAGGGATGCCCTCTCTCACCACTCCTATTCAACATAGTGTTGGAAGTTCTGGCTAGGGCAATCAGGCAAGAGAAAGAAATAAAGAGTATTCAGTTAGGAGAAGAAGAAGTCAAATTTTCCCTGTTTGCAGAGGATATGATTATATATTTAGAAAACCCCATCATCTCAGCCCAAAATCTCCTTAAGCTGATGAGCAACTTCAGCAAAGTCTCAGGATACAAAATCAATGTGCAAAAATCACAAGCAATCTTATACACCAGTAAGAGACAAACAGAGAGCCAAATTATGAATGAACTTCCATTCACAATTGCTTCAAAGAGAATAAAATACCTAGGAATCTAACTTACAAGGGATGTAAGGACCTCTTCGAGGAGAACTACAAACCATTGCTCAGTGAAATAAAAGAGGACACAAACAAATGGAAAAACATACCATGCTCATGGATAGGAAGAATTAATATCGTGAAAATGGCCATACTGCCCAAGGTAATTTATAGATTCAATGCCATCCCCATCAAACTACCAAGTGCTTTCTTCACAGAATTGGAAAAAACTGCTTTAAAGTTCATATGGAACCAAAAAAGAGCCTGCATTGCCAAGACAATCCTAAGTCAAAAGAAGAAAGCTGGAGGCATCACACTACCTGACTTCAAACTATACTACAAGGCTACAGTAACCAAAACAGCATGGTACTGGTACCAAAACAGAGATATAGACCAATGGAACAGAACAGAGCCCTCAGAAATAATACCACACATCTACAGCCATCTGATCTTTGACAAACGTGACAAAAACAAGAAATGGGGAAAGGATTCCCTATTTAATAAATAGTGCTGGGAAAATTGGCTAGCCATAAGCAGAAAGCTGAAACTGGATCCTTTCCTTACTCCTTATGCAAAAATTAATTCAAGGTGGATTAGAGACTTAAATGTTAGACCTAATACCATAAAAACCCTAGAAGAAAACCTAGGTAATACCATTCAGGACATAGGCATGGGCAAGGACTTCATGTTTAAAACACCAAAAGCAACGGCAACAAAAGCCAAAATTGACAAATGGGATCTAATTAAACTAAAGAGCTTCTGCACAGCAAAAGAAACTACCATCAGAGTGAACAGGCAACCTACAGAATGGGAGAAAATTTTTGCAATCTACTCATCTGACAAAAGGCTAATATCCGGAACCTATAAAGAACTCAATCAAATTTACAAGAAAAAAACAAACAACTCCATCAAAAAGTGGGCAAAGGATATGAACAGACATTTCTCAAAAGAAGACATGCATACAGCCAACAGACACATGAAAAAATGCTCATCATCACTGGCCATCAGAGAAATGCAAATCAAAACCACAATGAGATACCATCTCACACCAGTTAGAATGGCGATCATTAAAAAGTCAGGAAACAACAGGTGCTGGAGAGGATGTGGAGAAATAGGAACACTTTTACACTGTTGGTGGGATTGTAAACTAGTTCAACCATTGTGGAAAACGGTGTGGTGATTCCTCAAGGATCTAGAACTAGAAATACCATATGACCCAGCCATCCCATTACTGGGTATATACCCAAAGGATTATAAATTATGCTGCTATAAAGACACATGCACACGTATGTTTATTGTGGCACTATTCACAATAGCAAAGACTTGGAATCAACCCAAATGTCCATCAGTGTCAGACTGGATTAAGAAAATGTGGCACATATACACCATGGAATACTATGCAGCCATGAAAAAGGATGAGTTCGTGTCCTTTCTAAGGACATGGGTGCAGCTGGAAACCATCATTCTCAGCAAACTATCGCAAGAACAGAAAACCAAACACCACATGTTCTCACTCATAGGTGGGAACTGAACAATGAGATCACGTGGACATGGGAAGGGGAACATCATACTCTGGGGCATATTATGGGGAGTGGGGGGAGGGGTGGCATTGGGAGTTATAACTGATGTAAACGACGAGTTGATGGGTGCAGCACACCAACATGGCACAAGTATACATATGTAACAAACCTGCACGTTGTGCACATGTACCCTAGAACTTAAAGTATTATATATATATATATATATATAAAATAACAAAAACAAAACAAAACAAAACAAAACAAAACAAAACAAGGTCTTCCCATCTTGGCCAGGAAAGCCTCTGTCTTCCCACAAGGAGTGCAGGCCTGCCCCTCCCACCTGCCTTAGGCGACTTGGCGCAGGCATCTGGGTCTTACAATGGCTGCTCCTTGTAGTCCTTGAGCCGTGGATGCATCCGACAGCCCGCAAGAGCCTGATATGTGGTGAACTCTGGCCTCACACTCCACACCGGCCCCTTTGGCCCCGAGGCTGCTGTGGGAGCTGTGGTCCTGCTGCCACGGTGGTTGGCATAGTCAGTACTCATGCTCAGAAGCTTCCAGAGCTTCCTGCTGGTTTGGTTATATTGGGAGACAGATGATGGTTAAGGAAGAGGAACTCCTGGGTGTCCTGCCTTGTGCTTGCCAACCCTGGGGTGAGAGATGCAGGAGGGTCAGTATCACCCCCTCCCCAAACTGCCGTTCTTAGCCCAAGAGTCTTCCACCGAGGCAGACCCTGTCAGCTCCTGGTTCATTGGCCCTCCTGGCTTCTTTTCCCTATGTGGAAGCTGGGACTCACACCAGCTACAGGCACTGGTGGAATCTTCACCACTGCCTTTGGCTTGGGCCACAGATTCCTTTCTGCCTGTCAGACCTGGCTCAGTTTGCTGGGGCACGAAGGTCACAGCTGGCAGGGAATGCAGAGACTGTTGCCGCCGATGGCCATAGGTCTTATAGCATTATGATGGGCACAGTGAATGCCAACTTCTGTGCTTTGGACTTGGGCCCTCTTTAGAGAGGGGTACTGTGTTCAGGGCACCTCAGAGTATCTTGTGTCCAAGCTCCTGGAAACCTGGTGGCAGCTGGTGGAATGCCTGCCGTAGGGAGCGGTCTGGGAGACTCTGGCGTTAGAAGCCTTGCTCTTACGTATAAACAGTCTTTAACTGAACACTTGTAAAACTGTAACGAGCCATTCATTTATTTGAATGGGGTGAGTTATTAATTTTCAGCAAACTGCAAGCAGCCGTTCTGAGATGAATCGTTTGGAGAGAGTCTGCTCCCCAGGGTGAAGGTCTGCGATGGGCCCTGAGGTCTGAACCCATCGCCTGATGTGACCTCGCCTTTTTCTTTCCCCTCAGCTGCCCCACCCCGGGATGCACTGGCTCAGGACACGTCCGGGGCAAGTACTCCAGGCACCGAAGGTAAGAGGACCCTTGGATCTCACAGAGCTTCCTGGGAAGCAGATTTGGAGGCCCCCCACTGCCCGCCCAACTCTGTTCTAGGCCCTTTTGCAGATGGAGAACTTTCCATCTTTCTCCACGGCTCCTGAGGCCAGGCTGCTGACCCTTCTGCAGGGCAGCGACCTCCCACTCTAGCCTGGAGGCCCGTGTGGCCATGGGCACGCCCTGTGGGGAAAGACAGACCACCTGACCTCCCAGCGCTGCACTGTGGTTTTCTTGTCTGAGTCCCCTGCAAGAACTGGATGAGTCTGTAGGGGAGGGAGGGAGGGAGGACCCTCGGGAGCGGCGTGGGGGGTGGCTGAGGCCTCTCGTGGCCCTAGCCTGGCCCTCTCCACTGCCTACTCCTCCTTCCCAGTTTACAGAGCTGCCCCCTGGCCAAGAAGAGGAAGCTGGAGGGCGCTGAGGCTGAGCACCTGGTGTCCAAGAGGAAGTCGCACCCCCTGAAGCTGGCTCTGGACGAGGGCTATGGTGTGGACAGCGACGGCAGTGAGGACACCGAGGTGAAGGACGCCTCTGTTTCGGATGAATCGGAAGGAACTCTGGAGGGGGCCGAGGCTGAGACGTCAGGACAGGAGGAGATTCATCGCCCCGAGCCAGCTGAAGGTGCTTTGTCACTCTTTCTTCCCCGAATAAAGGGTGCTTAGTGTGGCCCTGGAGAATTGCAGCCTGTGAGCGGGGAGGGGCTCACTCTGAGCGAGAGAAAGCTCTTCCTGAGAACAAGGCATGTCTTGTCCCAACATGTGCTGGGCTTCCTGGGAGAGAGGTCTGCCCGTGGTGTTTATGGGCCTGTGGTGTGTGTGTGTGTGAACACTGTGTGTGTAGGAGGGAGGCAGGGCAGACACAGACACGCGGCTGGTGTGTGTGTGTGTGTGTGTGCAGTTGTAGCATGTTTCGGCAGGTGTCTGCATGTATATGAGAGACAGACAAGGCTGTGTCTCTGTGTGTCTGTACGTGGGGAAGGGAGGGTCTTAGACTGGCCCTCTGGGAGACCTGCCTGGGGGCATGGGTGAGACGTCTGCTTTCCCCTGAGGCACTCACAGGCAGATGCTGAGGAAACACCTCAGGTTGAGTTCAGGTGATTGAGGACCAGGTGGGGCCTCTGAAAATGGGGTGCCCGGGGAAGCCAAGACGGGAAGGAGGAAAGCAGATGAGTCCCCCATTTCCTTGGGGGGTCTACCAGGACTGCCATGTTGGGGCACCGAGCCCTTGGCGGAAGTGGGTGAAGCAGGTGCTTTGGCCCCTGGGTTCCAGAGGGAGGGGTCTGTACCCCTGAGAGCCCTGGCAGATCTGTAGAGAACTGGGGTCAGACGAGGCCCAAGGTCCACTCCCCCTGCCATCCCCACCACCCACCCAACACTCCCCAAGCTTCTGCAATGGGGAAGGGTCTGAGATGGATTTTAGAAGCAAAGCCAGAGAGGGTCCTCAGCCCCAGCTCCCTTGGGGGGCTCTGGAGTGAGTGAATCAACATAGTCCTAGATCGCAGGGAGAAGAGACACAGATTTTCCTGCTTTCTTATCAAGAAGGGCGTCTGGAGTTGAGGCATCATCCTGGGCTTGGACTTTCCCCTCCGAAGTGGGTGGATGGCAGGGCCTGTTCCTACCACTGTGGGACGTGCTGGCCCAGGCGTCCTTGCTGACAACCCTACGGGGCCTGCATGTGGTGAGCACCTACCATATCTTAGTTTTGTTTTGTTTTTGTTTCGAGAGAGTCTCACTCTGTTGCCCAGGCTGGAGTGCAGGGGCACGATCTTTATTTACTGCAATCTCCTCCTCCCGGGTTCAAGGAATAGCTGGGACTATAGGCGTGCACCACCATGCCCAGCTCATTTTTGTATTTTTAGTAGAGACAAGGTTTCGCCATTTTGGCCAGGCTGGTCTTGAACTCCTGACCTCAGGTGATCCGCCTGCCTCGGCCTCCCCAAGTGCTGGGATTACAGGCATGAGCCACCATGCCCATTCTTATTTACTGCTTTTCAATTATGAAACAATTATTATTTTTAAAAATCTGACTTGCTGCTTAAGCTCCATTGTATACAGTGCAGGTTGATCTGATTCGGAAAGTAAACGTGATGAGAGAGGAACGTTAAGGAAAAGTATCCAAGTAATTCTTAGTTTAGAAAATACATCAGTGGCCCATGACCTGCCTCCTGAAATATGTTCACCATGATTTCTGGATTCAGGCAGAAGGGTTGACAGAAAGTCCATACCAAATCCCCACTTCGGGAGTTTCGTGTTTCCGCTTGGCTCCCGTGTAAAGAGTGAGTGGTAGGTCAGGTGGAGGGGTGGTGGGTGTGTTGGGGACTGGAGACCTGGAGTCTTCCCACATGCTCTCTGGCCCCCATGTTGATTTTGATTTTGTGCAGGAAGGAGCCCCATCAAGTCCCATTTTGGATCCAACCCCACTGGCTCCTCCAAGGGCAGCTATAGCAGTTACCAGGGAATCATCGCCACTTCTCTCCTGAACTTGGGTCAAATTGCTGAAGAGACTCTGGCGGCCAAGCCAGGCCCTGGCGTTGTGCACCTGCTTCAGGAGGCCACAGAGGGAGCTGCCAGCGAGGAGGGTGAAAAGGGCCTCTTCATCCAGCCAGAGGATGCCGAGGAGGTCGTAGAAGTCACCACCGAACGCTGCCAGGACCTGTGTCCCCAGTCCCTGGAGGATGCAGCCAGTGAGGAGTCCAGCAAGCAGAAAGGCATCCTGAGTCACGAAGAGGAGGATGAAGAGGAGGAGGAGGAGGAGGAAGAGGAGGAGGAAGAGGATGAAGAAGAGGAAGAGGAAGAGGACGAGGAAGAGGAGGAGGAAGAGGATGAGGAGGAGGAAGAGGAGGAGGAGGAGGAGGAGGAAGAGGCAGCTCCTGATGTGATCTTTCAGGAGGACACCTCTCAAACCTCTGCCCAGAAGGCACCTGAGCTCCAGGGCCCAGAACCACCCAGTCCCAAGCCTGAGTACTCTGTTATTGTGGAGGTCCGCTCGGATGATGACAAGGACGAGGACACCCACTCCCAGAAGTCAACAGTCACTGACGAGTCGGAGATGCATGACATGATGACCCGGGGAAACCTGGGCCTTCTGGAGCAGGCCATTGCCCTGAAGGCTGAACAGGTGCGCACGGTCTGTGAGCCGGGCTGCCCGCCCGCCGAGCAGAGCCAGCTGGGCCTGGGAGAGCCAGGGAAGGCAGCAAAGGCCCTGGACACTGTTCGGAAGAGCTACTACAGTAAAGGTAGGGGTCAGGGGTGGCCTGGCCCTGCAGACTCATCCTTTCACCCCTGCCCCAGTGTACAAATGCAGGCTGAGAGCCCTTCTAGGACAGGAGGCTGGGAGATGGCAGAAAAGCAGACAAAAGGACAGATACATGACACAGACTGTGGTCAGATACTGAGCAAATGGGTTCCCACACTGCTTTACAGAGCAATCATAGAGCGGAGACGTGTGAGAAAGAACCAGGTGGGAGAGAGGAGGTGGGAGGGACAGTGACCCACCCACAGTGACTGGTCACAGCAGCATCTGGGATCCGGAGAGGGTGCGGACTGTCCTGTCCCTTCCACCCAACTCACACTTGTGGCAGGGATTGTGCTATGACAGAACCCGCTGTTTGCTACAGCCATGCTGGGTCCTCCTGATCCTCTCGTGGGGTGGAGCCCAGCAGGCAGAGGTGAGGGGTGCCCTCCTCAGAGGAAGCAGCCTGCCGCTGGCTCTGCATCTGCTCTGGGTTTGGCTCTAAAGTGTGCAGGGTATAGGGGAGGCATCCGCTGACCGCACTGAGTGGCTGATGTTGAGGTGAGGACAGACAAGGAGGGCTGCTTGGAGGGGCTTGGGACTGGGCTGACATGGTTGGGGAGCAGCTGGGAGCCTGGAGTGCTGAGCTCTGAGGACGAATCCTGAGTGAATGGTTGCAGCCTTCACTGTTACTGGGGTGTCAGGGTTTGGACAGCAGGCTGGCTCTGCCCTGCTGACTGCCCATCTCAGATTCCTCCTTGGGACAGGGGCCTGGGGAGCAGGGCTGGCCAGGGGCTGCTCCCTCAGTGAGCCATGCCAGGGAGGTCAGGCCTTGGACAGGTCAGCTTTGGCTCACCCGGCCTGGTGCAGAGAGGTACGCACCTGGGCACTTGGCCTCTCTTCTCCTAGGACAAGGGACCTGCCCGACCTCAGCCTATTTTTTCCCCACGTCTAGTCCTGCGTCTCTTCTCCAGGTGGACAGGGCGGTGGGAGTTCGTGGCACTGTTCCGATGAGTGCCCCCAGGAAGGGTTAGCTGAGACCAGGGAGGGGCAGATCTTCCGATGAGTGCCCCCAGGAAGGGGGCGGTGGGAGTTCGTGGCACTGTTCCGATGAGTGCCCCCAGGAAGGGTTAGCTGAGACCAGGGAGGGGCAGATAAGGAGAGAGAACTGGGATGGGAGGTGACTCAGGTGCTGGAGCCAGGAACCAAAAATGCAGGAGACACAGACTCAAGGCCAACCCTGGGAAGACGCACTTGGCTCATGGGAGAGGCAGACCTGAGCAAGACATAATTCAAGGGGCATGATAGGCAGATCAGTGGAGACATGAGGGACATATTTTCTGGGAACACCCAGGCTTATGAGACAAGCCCAGGGGAAAGATACTAAGGGACACAGGTGGGGATATGGTTTCAGGGTGAGATGGACCCCAGGCTTTGAGGGGACACCCTTTAGGGCAACCCAGATGGTGGGACAGCTCTTTGGGGACCCAGATTTAAGTCAGCACCGTCATGCTCCAGCCTTGTGGGGCCATGGGCACAAAGAGACACAGGCTAAAGGTGAGACTTAGGGACAGGTGTTAAGGGCCTGGTGTGGTTACTAGCCTGGGTGTGGTGTGCTTGGGCCACACAGATCAGCGCAGAATTGGTTGGGACACATATGAGGAACAGAGACACCAGGTGACAGCCCCAGGCCCAGGTTTTCAAGGGTCTCAGACCTGTGGGACAGACACAGGGGGACCCAGAGGCAAGGTGTCCTGCCTTCAGGAATAGATTTTCAGTGCGTGGACCCAAAGGGACACAGTCCCGGGTGACACAGGTGGCCAAGCTGAGAACACCAGGCAGTGCCGGGCTGGGCTGTGAGTGTGTGTGCAGTGTGTGCAGGATAGAGACGAGACTGGGACTGGTTCCAAGGGACTCGTGTGGGGACCCAGATGCTGCGAGAATTCTGAATGGAGGCTGTGGGACGGGGCGGCAAGCCCAGGGGGCAGGTGTTGGGCACGGGTTTGGAAGCCCCTCAGGACCCCGCTGCCTGTCCACGTGGGTGGAAGTCTGACTTCCTGCTCCTTTGAGCTGGGGGCAGCAGAGCCCACCGTGGGGGCCTCCCCCTCTGGAGTGGGAGTTCTGAGTTTGGCTCTGTGACCTCTGCACCCTCCCAAAGGGGACAGCTCGTCCAAAGGTGTTTCACTGAGACGTCAGCTCTGCTCTGAGGGTCCTCTGTGCTCCTGCCGGTCCCTGCACTCTGTAGTGACCAGCCTGGTCCTGCAGAGTCTAGTTGAGGTCAATAACAGATGTGGGTTTAAATTTCCGCCCAGACGTATGTTAGTCATGCAGCCTTGGACAAGTTTCTTAGCTCCTTCGTCCTCCTCGTTTTGTCAAATTCCAAGGACATCTCCTGGCAGGAATGTTGCCAAACGCCTTGACCTCTCTAGGTCTAGGAGACCCATGAGACCTCCGCACTGTCAGAGGAGAGAGGAAAGAGGACTCCAGCTGCCATCTGGGTGGTTCTCCTTAAAACACTGCACAAACTGCTATTTGGGATGGTCAGGGCAGTATCAGGGCTTTTGCACACAGGTAGCCAGTGTGGGCTGGTTTCTTCAGGGTCACCTGACTGTCCAGCCCCAGTCCCTGTTCAAGCTCATGGGCAGTGTTGCCTCTCTTCTCTCTGGACAGCCAGAGAGAGGGGTCCTGAGCTACCCCTGCCCCCTCTCTGCTCACCACCCAGCTTCCGGGCTCTAACTGATGTGACTTGTGTGTTTTAGATCCTTCAAGAGCTGAGAAGCGTGAGATCAAGTGTCCAACACCAGGCTGTGATGGCACTGGCCACGTTACCGGGTTGTACCCTCACCACCGCAGCCTTTCTGGCTGTCCCCACAAGGATAGGATCCCCCCAGAGAGTGAGTAGCTCTGTGCAGCGTTAGCCCTAACTCTGAAGCTCAGGCTGCCTCTGTGGTGTTTGGGTGGTAACCTGCCCCTTTGGTTTGTTCAGATGCTCATCCTTACATCTCCCCGCCTCCCCCCACAAACGGCCTTAGCCCAAACTTGAGCCCTTTGAGGCTGGGGCCCTGCAACCAGCCCATTTGTCTACCTAGAGACGCCAGTCGGGGTCAGAGCCCATAGTCACAGATCGATGGGAGGGGACAGGCCAGTGCCAGCCACGCTGGGAAGGGAGAGGTCTTCTTGCAGCAACCTCTGTGCTCCAAAGGCTTGGGAAGCAAATACTTCTAATTTTTAGGCTAGAAGCAGTAATTGTGAAAATTAAATTTAGAGGAGCAAACCACAGAATGAGAGGTTTTAAAGCTGAGTCTGGTTTCTGCCGCAGGAGGGAGGGACCACAGTGGTGGTGGGGGGTGTGCCCTGGTCACACTGAGGGTGGGGGGAGCGTGCCCTGATCACACTGAGGGTGGGGGGTTAGGGAGGGACCACAGTGGTGGGGGGGGTGTGCCCTGATCACGCTGAGGGTGGGGGGTTACGTCTGCAGGCTCTTGGGGGCTGGAGCTGCCCTGCGTTGCTGCCCTAATTTGCTGTGTCCCCCAGCCGCACAGCAAGCAGCAGCCTTTGGACAGGGCTCCTGCCTCCTCCTCAGCCTGTGCTCCCCACTCAGCTGGTGCTCCCCAGATTCTCTGACAGCCTTGGCTCCCTCCATCCCTGGTTCTCTTACAGTCTTAGCCATGCATGAGAACGTGCTGAAGTGCCCCACTCCCGGCTGCACAGGCCAGGGCCATGTGAACAGCAACCGCAACACGCACAGAAGGTACTTGGACTGAACTGGGCCAGGGTGGGCGCCGGGGGGGGGCCCCATGTGTGGGAGGGCACCTGGGTTAGGCCTGTGTGTCCCGGTCTGGGCCTTGGGCCCGTGACCTGGGACAGGGCTCTGGCCCTGTGGGCTGCCCTTCTCCCTGCCTGCTGCCCTCAGGAGTGGGTATAAGGTCAGGGCACACCTGGGCTGTGAGGGCCCTTTGGGCAGAGCAGCAACTGGAGGTGCAGTCACCTCGTGGGGTTGCTGCCTTGACCCCTATGAGCTGGGGGTCTCAAGAGAGCAGGGGGCGGCCTGTGGAGGAGCGAGCAATGCACCCTCTGTGAAGAGAGGTACAATGACCATGTGGAGAGCCAGGTGAATGCTTGTGTCCTGCCCACATTCAGAAAACCTCTGCACACTGGCTCTTGCTCCTGCGTGGAAAGGGCAGACACGAACAGTAACCTCGGCAGGCCAGGACTGTACTCTGGGCTGCTTTGTGGCAGTTCTGAGGCCCAGGTGGAAGTGAAGCTTGCCAACCGCCCTCGAGGTATAGTTGTTGACGCGTCTTCTATGGCAAGGGGGTCTACTCCCCCAGCCTTACCCAAAGTGTCATGGGTGGCCATGGCCTTGGTGGCATATGCCTTTGCCCCAGCATATGCTCAGCTGAAGGGACTGCCAGAGCTTTTGAGGCCACTTCCTTTGAAGAGAGGCCAATTCCCCTTACGTCACCTCCCCGGCTGGCTGCGGGGCTGGCGCTGGCGCTCACAGTTGACTTAATTCTGACAGAGGAAGCTGCTGCCTCCGTGTCTTAGGCTTACCTGGGCCTGAGTCATCCAGGGTCAGTGCCCAGGTTGTGGTCCAAGTGGGGCCCTGGGCTGCCCAGGGCAGCTGGCGGAACAAGAGCCAGAGACGGCTGCAGAATCCAGCCCTGGAAGCTGGGAAGGGAGAGGACGCGGGGAGGGGAAGGCCTGTCACCCGGACCCATGCAGGGGAGGCAGCTTTGCCCAGAGCTTTCAAGGCCTTTAGGGTATATTTCATCTTTGTGTGTCATTGGCATAGAATGTTCCACAACAGAAACTGACTAGGCAGCTTGTACTTTGAGGGCTCAAGAACAGAGTCAGAGAGAAAACCCCTGCCCTGCAGAATGACAGGATTATTCCCGGCTCTGGCTTCTTGCACACCTGGAGTCCTCACATCTGAATGACCTTGCCGTGAGACGCCCACACACGCAGTCACCCAGGACAGGACAGGCGTGGAGGGGAGGCTCAGATATCCCTCCTCTTCCTTCCTCTAGTTTGTCTGGGTGTCCCATTGCTGCCACCGAAAAATTAGCCAAATCCCATGAGAAGCAGCAGCCGCAGACAGGAGATCCTTCCAAGAGTAGCTCCAATTCTGATCGGATCCTCAGGTGAGTGAGATGAGCTGCAGAACTGAAGAGGCTGCCTCCCAAATGCCTGCAGGGGGCTTCTTAGTCTCCTGCAGGCTGTGCGTGCACATGTGTGAGTGCACGTGTGAGTGCTTGTGAGTGCATGTGTGTGAGTGCACGTGTGTGAGTGCTTGTGAGTGAGTGCTTGAGTGTATGTGTGTGTGTGAGTGCACGTGTGTGAGTGCTTGGGAATGTACGTGTGCATGTGTGAGTGCTTGTGAGTGCACGTGTGCCGAGCGCTTGTGTGTAGGTGTGTGCACATCTGTGAGTGTACATGTGTGAGTGCACGTGTGTCAGTGCCTGTGAGTGTACATGAGTGCATGTGAGTGCTTGTGAGTGTACATGTGTGGGTGCACGTGTGTGAGTGCGAGTATACGTGTGTGAGTGCATGAGTGCACAGGTGTGGGTGTACGTGTGTGAGCATGTGTGAGAGTGCATGTGTGTGACTGCATGTGAGTGGGAATGTACGTGAGTGCACGTGTGTGCGTGTGAGTGTACATGTGTGAGTGCGTGTGTGAGTGCATGTGTGAGTGTATGTGTGTGAGCACATGTGTGTGAGTGTATGTGCGTGCACGTGTGAGTGCACGTGTGTGGGTGTACATGTGTGAGTGAATGGGTGTGAGTGCATGAGTGCTTGTGTACATGTGTGAGTCCATGTGTGTGTGCGTGTGCTTGTGAGTGTGCATGCGTGAGTGCACGTGTGTGAGTGCGTGTGAGTGTACGTGTGTGAGTGCACGTGTGTGTGTGAGTGCACGTGTGTGAGTCCACATGTGTGCGTGAGTGTATGAGTCTACATGCACATGTGAGTGTATGTGTGTGAGTGCATGTGAGTGTGTGTGCGTGTGTGAGTGCACATGAGTGCACATGTGTGAGTGCGTGTGATTGTACGTGTGTGTGCGTGTGTGCCTGCATGTGTGTGACTGCACGTGTGTGAGTGCATGTGTGCCTGCATGTGTGTGACTGCACTGTGTGAGTGCGTGTGTGCCTGCATGTGTGTGACTGCACGTGTGTGACTGCACGTGCAGGAGTGTGCACATGCCCCGGGCTGCCCAGGAGCAGGACTGTGGGGCAGTTTTGGGGCCACACAGGACAGAGTCTCATGTCTGACACGTTCGCCAGTGCCTCAGCCAAAGCACAAACTCCCGCACAGCTGCCTCTGCCCTGGACATGGTGCTCTGCCTCCTCAGAGTCGTCTAATGTGACCACTTGAGGCTCCTTGGGAATTCGTTTGTGGAGATGCTGGTCCTGTCTGGAGAGAGTAGACTGCACCAGCCGAGGACCACGGACGTCCAGGAAGCACCATGAGCCACTAACCCTTGGCCATTCTGCCTGCCCCTCCCCGACCCCAGGGATAGACCCCAAGTCAAGGAGGAGGGGTGGGTGCAGGCTTTGCTCCCCCGAGGGCTTTGTGGCCCCTGAGGTTCTGAGATTGCAGTAGGTGTGTGTGAGCGTGTGGAGCGTGTGTGTGCCTGTTCACACGCCTGTTTGTGTTTGCATATGTGCCAGTATGTTTACATGAGCGTGTGAGTCCATGTGTGTGTGCACGTGTAGATTTGGCTTTCATCACTAAGGATCTTTCAGAATGCATCCCATTAGTGTCCCCTCCTTCCATGTGGCTCTAAGAAGTAAGTGCCACAGATAAGGCCAGAGGCTCAGAGAGTTGCCCAAGGCCACCCTGCCCATCCTGCCTGGCTTCAGAGTCTCTCCTCTGTGGGGCTGAGTCCTTGGACCGTGGTACCCACTGTTGAAGAGGACACTTCCACTGCTCCTGTCTTCACCTGCAGACACACTGCTCCCCCATTCCCTGAGGAACTAGAACTCACACACTCCTCCTCCCCAGCTCTGACCCCTGTTCCATATCTTTCTCACCAAACAAGAGTGTAGGAGACCCCAGCTGGGGTGAGTGTGAATGACTGCATAGCCCCTTCCACTGTCTGCCTCCTTTCGGGGCCCACCTGACCCCAGCCCTTCCTGGCACGTAATTGGAAAAGTCCCAGCCAGATGATCTTGGCTGCTCACCTTGGCTGTGTCATACCCAGACCCTTCCCTGGCCTGCTCCAGAGGGTTCCTCTGAAGGTGCGATCCCCACACGGGGGATCTCTGGGCCGAGGACAGAGACTCGCCTTCCTGCTCTATGGGCATGCTTGCCAGCCCACACACAGGCACCTTCAGCCCTGTAGGTCCCAGCAGGCTGCTTTTCCACCAGCTGGCTCTCACAATGGTTTGAAGATGCTTTTTCCTCTATCTTATTTGCTGTTCCCTCCAGCTTCCTGTCAGTTGCAAATTCAATCCTTTCCCTCTTTGATCTAAATCACCGATAAAATGTCAAACCACAGATTTGGCCCCCGTGTGAGGCCAGGCAGGGGTGTCAAACAGGTTCCAACTTCGGAGACTGCGCTCCCTGGGACTATGACCTCAGTTTGTTCGCTTATAAAAGTAGGAAAACAAACTAAGTCGCTCATGAGGCTCAAGTGACTCTGCCGCCCTCAGCCCCTGTGAACACTCACTGAACGCTAGAGACTGTGGCTAGGGTGCAGGAGGCCTCCCATCAGGCTCTGTTGATTCTGTCTAGCCCACATTTCTGGTTGTCGAACTTTGGGGTGTGAGGACAGGCTTTGCCAAACTTTGTTGGCATTGCGGACAATAAGTGCACAGATTCTGACTGAAGCCTTGGCCAAGGAAGCCATCAACAGTGGTACCAATGTTAACTTTATTATTATTATTATTATTTCTAGTGACAGAGTCGTACTCTGTTGCTCAGGCTGGAGTGCAGTGGTTTCAATCATAACTCACTGTAACCTCAAACTCCTGGTCTCAAGTGATCCTCCCACCTCAGCCTCCTGAGTAGCTAGGAATACAGGTGCGCCACCATGCCTGGCTATTTTTACGTGTAATTTTTTTTGTAGAGAGGGTCTCACTACGTTGCCTAAGCTGGTTTCTTACTGTTGGCTTCAAGAGACCTGCCTTGGCCTCCCAAAGTGCTTGGATTATAGACATAAGCCACCACACCTGACCCAATGTTAAGTTTAAAGTTAGTTTTTTCCCTCCTGGCCTCACTCTTGTAACTCTTCTATCTGCCATTGGGGCCAGGGTCCATCCTGTGGCTCCCACCCTTCTTGGAGAAGGAGAACGCACCCGAGTCCTGGTAGTGTTCAGTTCTTCCAGGCCCATCAGAGCTGGTCACAGTTGCAGGACTGGCCTGGCGGTCCTCTGTGCTGGGCTCTGTTCTTAGTCCACACTTAAGTTCTCGTAGCACCCAGCACCTTAGAGGCTGTCATTGTCAGCTCCTTCTTAATTCCACCGATTGCACATTTTCCAGACTGAAGTCACTGCTTGGTCCAGACAGGAGCAAAGAAAGCCATGGCTGCTTGCTGGGACCTCCTCTTCTCTGAGCTGCCAGGTTCAGAAGCCCCTCTGTGCCTGTGTGGGCACCGGCGTCTACCACCAGTCTTCCTGCCTCCTGTGCCTTCTATGCCAGTTTCTTCATGCCATCTTTTGTGCATGTAAAATCCTGAAGTCTTCCAAGAGCATTAGTGGCAGTGAACTGAGTGCTCACAGTAGCTTTTCCGTGTCTGTTATTAATGCTTCCAGCAGTTCTTGAGGGTTCACCTCAACACAGCTTTAAGAAGAGGGCAGCTGAGGGCTGAGTCCCTGGCTGAACGAAGAAGGGTCAGGCCTGGCCCTGAGACCACTCCTCAGAAATGTACCTGATACAACTAGTGTCTCCTGTAGATTCCTCAACTTCCTCCTTGCTGGGGAGTTCTAGCTTATTCTGCCTTGGAGTGTCTTGCTGTTGTCCTGGGCTCTGCTACTGTTTGCCCTCTGCCCAGTACTCACTCCAGTTGTAGCTGAGCTGTTTGAAACCTGCTCTCCTACGTTCTGGGGAAAATCTCGGGCCCTCCTCTAGCTGATGCTGTCAGCCGGACAGGCATTGATTCTTTGAGGGCCCTGTTGCTTCCTTCCTGCAGGCAATTCTTCGTGGGCCTGCTCTGGGAGCCCTTGGTCCTGGGAGGTGGAACTGCCTAGCTTTAATGGTGGAATATGCAGGGGGAGTATCTCCCCGAGTCTCCTTCCTCAGCAGACGCTGTGAGGCCCCTGCCTGGGCTGTGGATTGGGGTTGGGGAGGGCGGCATGGCATCCCCGGGTCCCATCTCACTGGCTGTGCATCCCTGTACTGCACCCCAGGCCTATGTGCTTCGTGAAGCAGCTCGAGGTCCCTCCATATGGGAGCTACCGGCCCAACGTGGCCCCTACCACGCCCAGGGCCAACTTGGCCAAGGAGCTGGAGAAGTTCTCCAAGGTCACCTTTGACTACGCAAGTTTCGATGCTCAGGTTTTTGGCAAACGCATGCTTGCCCCAAAGATTCAGACCAGCGAAACCTCACCTAAAGCCTTTCAATGTAAGTTGGGGAGAATTGTTGTTGTTTCTCTTCCGTGTTGCTCCTGGGAGGGGCAGGATTCAAGGGGCAGTGGAGGAGGGACCGTCTCAAGGAGCTCCTAGGGAGGGACTCTCTACCCTCGTAAGGGGACCACGATGCAGGCTGGAGGTCTTAGCTGTCCCAGTGGGCACTGTGGTGGCTTTCTCGGGGCCTGCATCTCACTCCTGCTGCCACCTTCATGTTCACCATTAACATTTATGTGTCTCCTAATTATTTGTGAAACAAAACCCAGATCTGTTATGAGTGTGTGTGTCCAAAGACTTCAGAGCAACTCCACTAACATGGTTCACGCTGGGAGACCCCACTCTCCCCACTGTCCTCGTGCTACCTGTTTAATCCCAATGCAGCCGGGCGTCCATTTCCCAGCACTGCCTCTGGGGAGGGTCAGGCTGTGGGCTGGGTGGGGCCAGATGACTGCGGGGCTGCGCCCAGTGCCCTGGCGGGAAGCCACTGGTCTCCTGGTGGGGACCGTCTTACTGGATACAATGTGTTATTTGTGACATTAGTGACAAATTTTCTGGGTAATTGTACTGACAAAAATCATTCCTACAAATCTTTCAGAACAATCCTTTCTGTCTTGTCTTGTCACTTACGTCCTAGTTTGTGGAATAAGCTCATTAGCCCTGAAATGCATGCGGAATGGAAAAGCATTCGGTGCACACGAGACTGGGAGGGGCGTTTTGTGGCAGATGCTGTCAGCCCGAAACATGACAGTGACGAGTTTCCTACATGAGAATAATATAAGTACTGATTGCTGCAGCCCCAGTGGGGTGTGAGCCTCTCCTCCTAACTTTGGCAGAGCCTGCTCGTTAGGGTGGAGGACTTCCTGCCTCCGGGCACACACGCCTGCTTGGATGAGGGAATGCAACGGTACCAGTGGAGAGGGGACCACACGATCAGCTTTCCAATATATCTAGACCTTTCTGGATATACTGGTGACATCGTGATTGCCGAGAACATCGTGCACGAGAGTGATTTTGTGGCTACAGTACAATTACTAGAAAAGATAACATTCCGTGCCTTCATTCGCCATGTTCATTTGAGCAGTAATGTTACTTTTTTGAGGCAGTGATGGTTACTGGGGACACCAAGTCAGCCTAAATATGGGTACACTCTTTTGAGATGATGTCACAAAGTTTTCCTATTTGGGCGATACGGCACACTCATCCTATTTACAGAACGCTTCAGTTTCTGATAGACAAGTTATTTTTGTTTGAAGTATCAGGGCTGCTGGAATGTCTTGGAGGCTTTTATTCTTTTTGCCCAAATTTTCACTGAGCCAGAAACGAGACTGTCTCCTCAGTCCCCTAGAGGAGGGTGGGTGGGAATGAGGTGTGTGAGGACATGGGACTGGGATGGGCGGCCAAGCCCCTGGCCCACCTCGACATAGCTGTGCCCTGGGCCCTCGAATCGCTCCCAAAGTCCCCCCTCCCCACTGACTTGTCTGCATTGCTGCCTCTTTTCAAGTTGTGTATCAGCCTGGTGTTGTTCCCTTTTTGCAGCCAAACCTTTCCCAAAGGCCTCTTCCCCCAGGCACAGCCCCTCCAGTAGTTATGTGAGGAGCACTTCATCCTCTTCTGCAGGCTTTGACTACTCACACGATGCCGAGGCTGCACACATGGCTGCCACTGCCATCCTGAACCTCTCCACACGCTGCTGGGAGATGCCTGAGAACCTCAGCACGAAGCCACAGGACCTCCCCAGCAAGGTCAGTGCGTCCGCCTTTCTTGGGAGGGGTGAGTTGGTGGAATTTGCAGTCAGGCCCACCTGTTGTCCACACAAAATGTCCCTAGGAATGGCTCCTGTCTAGCTGGCAATTCTCATTCTTTACTTTTTCTCCCTCCTGGCCATGGCCCCAAGGACCGCAGAGCTTGGATGGGTCCACCAAGAGAACCTGGTATACTGAGCGAAGGGGGACCGAGGGCTGTGAGCACAAGTTCCCACGTGTCGCCCCCTCTGACTGTGAGGCTGTGCACACACGGTGCGCCCACGTGTCTCCCTCTGAGCCTGAGGGTGGTGCACACACATTCCCAGGTGTCTCCTTCTGAGTCCAGGGCAGTGCACGTGCCCTGTTCACACGTGTTTTCTGCAGAGTCTTGTGGTTACTGACACACTCTCCTTGCTCAGAGGACTTGGTCCTGCCCGTGTTTATGACATGTCCTGAGGGACTGGTTTTTGTGCTGTTGGGAGGCAAGAGGAATTGCAGGGCCTCCTTCATGGGAAATCAGGAAATGGCAGTTGGATTTTTCCCCTCTCGCTGCCTGTCTATCCGTGTTGTTCTGCTTCCTTCTATGGGAACCAGTGTTCCGGACCCTGTACATTTGATTAAAATGTACCAGAAGGCACACACGGGAAGGGGCTGGAATCGCTAACAGATTTCACCTTTGCAATTGCAGTCTGTGGATATTGAGGTAGATGAAAATGGAACCCTGGACTTGAGCATGCACAAACACCGCAAGCGAGAACAGGTTTTCCCCAGCAGCAGCAGCTGCAGCAGCAGCCCCGGTGTGAAGTCTCCTGACACCTCCCAGCGCCAGAGCAGCACCAGCGCCCCCAGCAGCTCCATGACCTCTCCCCAGTCCAGCCAGGCCTCCCGCCAGGACGAGTGGGACCGGCCCCTGGACTACACCAAGCCTAGCCGCCTGAGAGAGGAGGAGCCTGAGGAGGTGGGTGCAGGCGCCTGGGCAGTCAGGAGGCTGCTTGCCCTGCCTGAGGTTGTTGTAATGTTGGCTTTTCAAGGAAGCTCCTCCTCACAGGTTCTGGCCGAGCCTCGGGGGAGACACCCTTTTCATGAAGGGTCCTTCATCTTCTGAGCGGCTGGGACTCGGGGGCCCACCCTCTGGGTGGGATTTTCAGCAGCAGGGCCATGCTGTGCCCTTGTCTGTCAAGAAGGAGGTGGTCTTATCACCCCTGTGGAGCGTGGCGGCCAGTACCAACGCGGGCACTCTGGAGGCATGGGGAGGAGAAAGGCGTCTTTCAGATCCCATGAGTTGACTGGGGAAGAGCTCAGGTTTCTTGGGTTTTGAGCCTCCCACCACCATGGGCTTAGGATCGCCCATGGTGGGTGGTGCCAGGTCCCTGAGACCGGGACCAACCTGGTGTGGCTGTTAGAACTGTGATCTGGGAAGCAGGGGATCCTTCCCTTTTTAGTTATTCCTTAAAACATGTGAAAGAAGAGCCCTCAGAGGCTAATTCTGGGCTTTTCCCGAGGAGGTGTGTGTCCTGAAGAGAAAAGTCCAGCTCTGAGGGCAGCCCAGGGTCCAGGTGGCAGCAGCGGCGTGTGTGAGACTAGCAGGCCCCTCTCTCTCTCCCTCTCCTTCCCCTCCCCTAAAGCCCCTCAGGAGGTGGAAGGGGTCCCTGTGGAAGGAGCAGGGCCAGACCCTCAAGGAGGAATGAGGGAGGTGGGGCTAGGCCCCTATGAAGGGTGGGGGCTGGATCAGGCCCCCTCCATAATCCAGCCTCAGTGGGGAGCCAGACTTCCTCACTGGCTCCCACACCACCCTCAGGTTGCCCCATTTTATAGAGGAGGAGCCTGGGAACCCACAACAAGGTCTGATTGTCCGAAGACTGTTATTATGCTGGGCCGTGGGCTTCAAGGGCATTTCCTCATTTGACCCCCAAAAACCCGTGAGGGACTGCTGTTATCTCAAGTTTGAAAGAGTGGCACCTGGGCCCTAGGAGCCTGAGCCACCTGCCTGGGACACATGCGAGTGCCTGTCAGGACTGGAATTTGAGCTCTGGTTACAGCATCCTGCAGAATGTTGGCCTTCTGACCCTTCATGGACCCCTGGCCCCTCCGTGGGGGAGACTGTGCCCTGCTTACCTGGGTCCACAGCACTGAGCCGCCATACCCAGCATTCATTTTGAAGCCTTTATCAAGTACCTGCCATGGTCAAGGCATCGCACTGGTGGGCGTGTCAGGCCAGGTGGTTTCAAGACCACTGCAATGATGTTAATTTGTATATTATTACCTTCGTTGTGCCATCTCATCTTCATGGCATTTCAGTAACACTTATTTAGTGCCTACTGTCTGTTGAGTGCCATCCCTGGCTCTGAAGGGACAGTATCCTGATGTTTACACTGTGGAGTGACGTGGTGGAGGGGACCCACACACCTGAGGCCAGGGAGGGTGTCAGGAGCTGCCACACTGGGCAGCACCAGGCCTTCTAATTTCTAGGGCAACCCAGGAGCTCTGGCTGAAGTGGGGGAGGGATCCGGCCCCTCGGGCGTGTTGTCTTCTGTGTTTTGCTGGGGAGTTAAGTCTTCCTCCTTTATCCAGAAGACAGGAGACTCCAGGCACTGTCCTGAAGGGTTCCTCTCCCTCGCCCACCGGGTTGGGCGCCCAGGCCTCCCCGCCAGCCGGTTAAAACATCTCCCTGCTGGTTTTTTGCAGTCAGAGCCAGCAGCCCATTCTTTTGCTTCTTCTGAAGCAGATGACCAGGAAGTGTCGGAAGAGAATTTTGAGGAGCGGAAGTATCCGGGGGAAGTCACCCTGACCAACTTTAAGCTGAAGTTTCTCTCCAAGGACATAAAGAAGGAGCTGCTCACGTGAGTCCCTGCTTTGGCTGGCACAGCTCCTAGGAGACCCTCTGTGGCCTGGGGAGGAACAGGCCCCGGTCCTGACCCATGACGAGTGGGTCTGCTCAGGCTTCCTCCGACCTGTCCTGACCACCTTGATCCGGGCAGCCTGCGACAGGAGCCAGAGCAGTCCGAGGTTTCCCAACACCTCTGCGCTGTGGTTGGCTTTTCTGCAATCTTCTAAAAGTGATTAAGAACAAAGCAATTCCCTGGCCAAGCTCACCAAGCAGGACAGAGCAGAGCAGGGGCAGAGTGGAGGAGAGTTCCTCAGAGAGCTCCACTGGAAGCCCTCGGGGCAACCAGAGGCCCAGCCCTCTCCCTGAGGCCGCAGCTGGGCATGTTCTGCCCAGGGCTCCGTGGCCAAGGCCTGGAATGTACTGCTTTAGGGCTCACCACCCTCAACTCTGTCATGCTGACTGGCCCGGATGCTGTGTGTCTGAGCTGCTCCGCACAGGGCTGGAACAGTCAAAGTTGCTGATGGATAATGGTCAGATGTCAGTGACCTTCAGGTCAGCCTTCATTGCCAGCCACCTCTCCTAGGGGACTATGAGAGGCTGTGCCTGGCACCTGATCCACAGGTGATCCAGCTCTCACATGTGCTCAGAGTACATTTCTGGGGTCCCTCTTCTCCTCACCCTGAACCCCTCTTGTACCCTCACACCTGTGGCTTGCCCTCCTGGGAGTGGCTGGATCCAGGGAAGGCCTTGCTGCTTCAGGGCCTGGAAAAGGGAGGAGCTCCCTGCCTAAATATTCATGGGCACATGCACGGGCACACACAGCACATGTGCGTCACAGGCACCCTAACTTTAAGCTCAACTTTAATTTGGTTCCTTCTTCTTCTTGAGTTAAGTTGTGTGGGAGAAACTTCCAGCCTGAGAGGCACCAGCTGTCCCCCAAGGACTGAGGGGAGGAGGAGCCACGGGCCAGGAGTGGGCATCAGTCGCCCTCGCAGAGCAGGCTTAGCCTGGGGGACAGGTACACACCACTCTCTGGCCTGACACTCTTTTTCCTTTGTCCAGCTGTCCCACCCCTGGCTGTGACGGCAGCGGCCACATCACTGGGAACTATGCCTCCCACCGCAGGTTTGTCTCCCACTCGGGTCTGTCTGGCCTGGGTGCTTCTTGGTGGGTCTTCCTCCTCTCCTCCTCCTCTGCTCCCCTCTGTGGCTTACCCCGATATCCCATCTCTTCTCTTTCAGCCTCTCTGGTTGCCCTCTTGCTGACAAGAGCCTCAGAAACCTCATGGCTGCCCACTCTGCTGACCTCAAGTATGTTTGCGCTCCCTGACCTCCTGTCTCTGGGGTGGCACCTCGCTGTGCTCTCCTTCCATGAGGCTCCTGCCAAAATCAGCCTTCTCCAAGGTGCCAAGCCTCAGCTGGCCCTAGGTCTCCTGAGACGGGCAGAGGGGCAGGGCCGTGGAGGGGCCGATTCTGCTTGGCTGGGGCTGCTCTGCCTGTGTGCCCCTGCTCTGAGCTCCGCTGTTCACCTCTCCGCTGGGTGCTAGGGGCTGCTGCAGGCTCCTGTGCTGCTCTTGCCCCATTCCCCACCCTCCAGCCTCTCCTGAAGACCCCCGACAGGGCTGTCTGGGCCTGCCTTCTCACTGCCCTAGAGATTTGGGAAAAGCCCAGAACCAACCAGGGAATGTAAGCCCTGCCGTGGCTCGGCAGGCCACAGGCTGTGCGGCTCTTGCTGAATGAACTGAACTCTGATAATGAAGAGAAAGCCCCTTGTCCTCCCCTCTCCTGTCATGCTCCAGCTGCTTCTGCCTTGGCCCTGATGCCCTTCCTCCCTGCTTATGCCTTCTGTTTGCTGGGCTCACCTGTTTCTGCTTCTGCACCTCCCTGCCCCTACCTAACACATGGGCAGGGCAGGCCCTGCAGGCACCAGCCTGCTTGACAGTCCCACACAACCAGGCACAAGCACCCAGAGGTTTCCAGGTATCAGTGTCCTCTCGGGGTTGGAGTCAGGGACTGTTACTGCCTTCGGTTTTCATGCCTCCAGTTGTGCTGTGACTCCACACCCTATGTGACCCTGAGCCACGGGGAGCACCTCCTGGGCACCGGGGTTGAGCTGAAGCCTTGGAGGAAGGGGGTCCCATTCTTGTCTCCTCAGGGCACCCCTCTCCGGGGGTGTCCCTCCCTCCCATAGGCCTCTGTGTTGGGGGCCCTGAATTCAGGTCAACACACCCCGTCTCATTCCATTCTGGGGCCAGACAGGATCCCAGGCACTGGTGCCTCTAAGATGAGGAAATGAAATTGCTGAAGGCTTCTGGGACCTTAGCTGGCTCAGAGCTGGACAGAAAGCTCTGGGTCTCCCAGAGCCCCCACCAGCAGCCTTGTCTCTGTTTCCCTCTGGAGGCTGCCCTGGCCCCAGCAGCCAGGAGGAGTGTGTCGTCAGGCCCTTCAGTTCCCACAGGGTGGGGTGCACCATCTCAGTTTCCTTCCTGGAAGTTAATAGCTTCAACATAAGCATTTTCTGAGGCTTAGATCACCACGGCCGATTCACACATTGACTTATTCATTCATTCCGCCCCTCACTTTGTCTAGTCCTAGAAACCCAGGAAACACTCAGTCCTGCAGCTCCTGGGACTGTCCTCTCTCCCTCTTTCCTTCTCTTGCCATCTTTCTTGCATTCCTTTTTCCTTTTCCAATTCTGCTTTCTTTTCTATGATTAGTTCCCATGGTGTTTCCCATCTGAGGGCCTGAATAATTGAAGGGCGAGAAATGTGGCTGTGTGCACCCAGTGGCCCCAATGTCACCATGTCCTTTCTGTCCTGCTAAGTGGATGCCCAGGTGGATGAAAGGAGCTTGGCACAGTTCCGGCCTGGAGACATGGCCGTCTGGGACAGTTAGTGCTTTTTTAAGACTAAGAGCCTGTGACGAACTTTAACTCCAAACTTCTTTAGAAATAACGACCAAAAGCCTCCCCTGTGTGAAAGTGAACCACTCATCAGCATCGGCAAGGTGTGGGCAGGCAGCCAAGGCCTCCAGGCTCCTTCAGAAGCTCCACTCTCCCCCAGGGGCCTTTCCATGGGAGGCCACTTCCTCTCCTCCCTCTGACCACTGCACGAGCTTGGGACGGTGGTGGTCCTGCCCCGCCACGTGTCCTGGTGTACCAACCTCCTTGCTCTCTGCCACCTCCTGTGTGAGGGGGCATCAGGCACTGGCTCCTCCTGATCAGCCTTGTGGCAGCCATGGGTGAAGGTGGCCTTGAGAAAAATGAGGTTCCTTTCATGACCTCCCTGTCCACAACTGGCTGCAGTGACAGTCGGATGATGTGTGTTCTGTGTTTTAAGTGAATCCCAAGGGTGTTCACTCTTCCTTCCCATGTGTCTGATGTGGTCAAGGGCTGAGAGGACATGGTTGCCTCCGGCCACAGCCACACACACCTGCCAGGGCGTGACAGGCTTTGTGCAGAGTGAAGAATGCCTGTCCACAGCACAGGGATGGGGCTTAGAGAGGTGAGACCTGGTGTGTATTGCCAAGGCAGAGGGTGTCCCTCAGACATGGTGCTCCCTTCTGCCCAGATGGGACACTCAGAAACAGGCAGTGGGAGGGGTGGAGGTGGCTCCAGATTCCTGCAACTGACCCTGGGGGTCCACAGGGCTATAAGGGGCATGCAGAGGGGACACCTGCTCCTCTGACTGTGTGAGCACTTTCCTCTCTTGGACACAACTCTTGAGAAAAGCCATTGAATCCGGCCTCAGTGAGGAGTGCAGGACGGCCCCACCTGTGTGTTAGGTACCTGCCGGCCCCTTGGGAGTTATACCCCCACCTGAGACTCACTCACAGATGCCATCGGGGAGTATCTGCCCTGCTGCTGATGCCACTCACAGCCCAATGCTGTGCTTATCCCCGTCGAGGCCTGGAGCTGCTGTGGGTCTGTCACTCCGGCACCTGAGTGGCCACTTGCCCACTGCACTGAACCGGAGCTCTACCCGATGCTTTCCTGCCACTGAGACAAGGAGCTGGAGCCCCACGTGGCCACTTGAACAGCTACCAACCCAGGAGGGAGAGGCAGGCCATCTTCGGTTCTCTGGGCTGGCCAGCAAGGTATCCAACGTGTGGCCCACAGGGCAAGGATGAAGGAACCTGAGACTCCCCACGAGGGCACCCCGAGAAAACTCCTAGGGGCTGAAGAGAAGGTTGCAAGAGGTGGGGCCAGCCCTGCTGTGCCGCCATAGCCCTTTGGGTGCCAGGCTGTGCCCGGCCGCACCTTCCTCTAAGCGAGGAGATGTCCTGCCCCAGTGGCCAGATGTCACATGTGCTGGTGGAAGACTCCGGTGAGGAAGGGCCGGCAGCACGGAAAGTGAGACGTCCTCCCTGGGGTCTGAGCGCCACAGCAAAGTGCCCATGAGTAGCAGGTGATCTGGACACAAGCACTGAACTCTTGCCTGGCTCCTGCAGGGTCAGGATGCTTGTGAGGGGTGAGGCACAGAGAGCAGCCCTGACGGGGGATGGATCTACCCGCACATCAGGTCACCTCCTCCCACTCTGACATCAGCAGGAACTCACATATTTTTCCTCAGTGGACATTTGGAAGAAAATAGCATCCGTGCTTGTAATATTAAAGTGGAATTTTGTACCACCTTACGTGACGCATTCATCACATAGTTTTGGGTGTATAAAGTTGGACTTTTGTGCTTCTCCTTAGTCTGCTGTAAGCTACTGGCTGTGTGAACTCTGAAGTCACGCTACACAACAGCCAGGCCTGGCATGGCCAGCGCCATCTGCTATGCAGCAGGTGTGCAAAAAAGCCTCTGTTCATTTACCAGCCCATAGTGGCAACCCTTTGTGAGGGCAAGCTCCCAGCCCGTCCAAGAAGATGAACTGGTCTTAGGATCTGGAGAACTCATGCTTGAAGTTATGGCTCAGATATGCTCTGAATGCCTTTAGTGCAGCCTAGACCCTGCAGAAGTCCAAGCTAGGAGCCCTTCGTGTCCTTGGGCTGCTGTGGACCCTGTAGGCCGGTCCCAGTGCCCAGGTTTGGTGTCTGGGTGTAAACCGATGCTGGAGCAGCAGTTGGCTGCTGTCCTCTCAGACTTCCTGGTCTCCCTTGGGGAGACAGGGGAGCAAAGTACTGAAGCCCTGAGATGATCTCATCAGACCCCTGTTGCTAGCAGTAGGCAGCTGGGGTGAACATCAGTGATGTTCCTCTGTGGACAAGGGAATGTGAGTGGGCTCACTCAAGGGCTGTGCCCGGAAGGCTTTCCTCTGGGAGTCCCAGGGCTCTGGGCCAGTTCCAGTCTTCCCGGGCTCTGGTTCCAGTTCTGCTTTCCTCTGCAGGTGCCCCACGCCTGGCTGTGACGGCTCTGGCCATATCACAGGGAACTACGCTTCACACCGGAGGTGAGCCTCCTGTGCCCTCAGGTCCTAGGCCCCAGGGGTGGGTAGGGAATCTCTTCCTTAGATGAAGATCGGAAGACACTAATGTTGCTGACCACTGGAGTCCATTTCCATCTCTTTAATCTGAATTGTTGCCATTTCCAGAACCTGATTAGATTGCCCTCTGCAGTAAGATAAAAAGACAAAGTGTCAGGGTTAGGGGCTCATGGAAATGCTTCTCCTTCTGACCCTGCTGCCTCGTGTGAAGGCTCCGTGTCTGTGGATTCTGCTTCTTACAATGGATCCATCAGTTGCCCTCACTCTCTCCCACCCCAACCTAGGGTCACAGAGCGTGAGGGGCGAGGAGGAGATGAACGGGTGTGAGAAGCCGCTGTTCTAGCACTAAGGTGGCCTTTTTTCCTCTTTCAAAATCAGCTTGTCCGGCTGCCCTCGTGCAAAGAAAAGTGGAGTCAAGGTGGCACCCACCAAGGACGACAAGGAGGACCCCGAGCTGATGAAGTACGTTGGGCCATGCTGGCTCTTTCATTGCTTTGCAGAATTGAGATTTTCCTGTGTTTTGTAATGTAGAAAATGCCTACTAGAGTCCCTTTTCATTAATACAATGGGTCACCTAACTGATCAATGCCAACTTTCGTTTTTATGGAAGCTCTCATACTGCACTTGGCACCTATGAAGATGTGAGCCCTGAGTGTCGTATGGAGGGCATGGGTGCCAGAGCCTCCGGGCTTCTCAGGTCTGGAGTGTTTGACAGGGCTGGGAGAGGCAGAGCACCCTTCTACCTGTGTGTTAGGGCCACCTGGGAGTGGGCCCCAGGGCCTTGCAACCTGCAGACTTTTGTCTGCAGGAAAGGTGAGATGCAGAAGTCAAGGAGAAGAGGGTGGTTAGAAAGACGTTGAAGCTTTGAATCCCATGTGTCCGTCCACCCACACACCTATGCAGAGAGCTGGTAGATTGAGAGAGCTGGGAGGATCTAAACTGGACACCAGACACTGTTGGGTGAAGGAGAGGACATCCTTGGCCTTAAGTGACCCAAAGTCCTTGAGGCAAAAAGAATCTCCTCTGTTGCTCTCCCCACTGGGGCAGGGTGGGGCTGACAGGTGAACCCTGCCTCTGTGTTGTCTTACTCGGTGGGGGTTTGTGTCCTCGCAAGCCTATTCTCCCAATAGAGGGTGGGTCCCCTGCACTGCCCACTTGTAGGTGGAGGCAATGCTTTGCCACAGACTCAAACCAGGTGGCCCACTGGCCAATGTGCCCAGGACCGAGGTACTTTCAGAGCTGACATCTGGCAAAATGGGCAGTGGGTTCCCCAGCAGGTGAGCAGTGGAAATGATGGCTCTGGACACTTTGTTGCCCAGGGCCTTGGGGCTGGCTTGGTCGGGACAGGGCCCTACTATGCCCACAGGAAACAGGTTGCCCTGATTGTGTTACCAGCTGGGCCAAGGGCAGGCAGACCTCACCCCCAGGGAGGGGGCAACTTGTCCGAGATTGGGTTGCCCCTCTTGGTAGCTCGCTCCAGCTGTGCCCCTGGAGGAACCTAACTGACCAACATCACATCCTTCGGAAGGGCTGGCCCCACCAGCTGTTTGATGTAATAGGCTGTGGTTTGTTTGTTTATTTTTTACAATAAAACTGTAATGAATGCTAAATTAACAATGCAAAATTTGTGGTCGTTAGTACTATGAAGGCCGCACACTAAATGCTGAGGTGCAGAAAAAACATTTCGCCCCTGAGAATCCAGGAATTTGATATGATCATATAAGTGCAACACCTTTATGGATTTGGCGAGGATCCTGCTGGCAGGGAGATTACAAGTGAATCGTGCTGCATTTGCAGATGACTAAAATCAAGATCAGCATTTTTCAAATTAACCAGGAAAAATGGTTTTCCTTTCTAATGTGCTGTCAACTTAGCTTTAAAAAAAACAAGAGTTCTGCAGCCAAGAGGAGACTCGACTTTGAGAAACATTTCAGCATTTGCAGGATAGACGAAGTTCCTGATGGCCCCATGGCAGAGGGAACCTGACCACTTAACCTCTCCGTTTTACAGGGGTTTGCCTCCCCAGCCATAAACTTTAACTGCATTGATAATTGCCTAACGTCTTTAAACAGATGCAGATCGAAGCAGAAACTCGAATGGATGTGTCAGGTCTTGCTGAGGGATGGGATTTTGTCAGCGTGCGTGAGCTGTGATCGGGAGAGCCTGGTGGAGCAAGTCCTTTTTATGACATCTCATGCCTGCACTATTTAAAACTGAGTCACATCAGGCACTTGGTGGTAAATCCCTTTGCCACAGCTTTATAACTGGTCATAAAAGTCCTGCGGAGGCGCCACCATGGGAGTCCCCTGCCCTGCCCATTGTCCCTAGAGGGGAGCCCACGCTGCCCCTGGCCACACAGACACCCGGCAAATGAAGTGCACCTCTGGTTCCTGGTCCTGGCCGTGTTTCTCATGTCACTGCACACACGGCTTCTGCCCCCCATCACGTGACAGGAAACGCTAGCCCACCCAAGAAGCACAGAGGCCTCACCAGCTCAGTGCCCGCGCCCCTGCCCCAGCACGTTTCAAACATGACGTCCCTGACGGCTTGAAAGTCTCCACACATGGTGTTGTGAGAAAGAGAACGTACCTGAAATCTGAAATCCTCTCCATGTATGTGACCCAGGGGAACAAAAACAGTTTCCCTTGAGGAAGGGGACTAGTGTTTTGCAAGAAAGGGAGTAAAAATAATTCAGATTTGGGCCAGGTGCTGTGGCTTATGCCTGTAATCCCAGCACTTTGGGAGGCCGAGGTGGGCAGATCACCTGAGGTCAGGAATTTGAGACCAGCCTGGCCAACATGGTGAAACCCCATCTGTACTAACAATACAAAAATCAACTGGGTGTGGTGGCGGGCGCCTGTAATCCCAGCTACTTGGGAGGCTGAGGCAGGAGGATTGCTTGAAGCCAGGAGATGGAGGTTGCAGCGAGCCGAGATCACGCCACTGCCCTCCAGCCGGGGCAACAGAGTGAGACTCCGTCTCACTAATAATAATGATAATTCAGACTCGACCGTGTAGAGTCACTGAAGAGCCACCTCCCATTTGGCCAGTGCCTCTTCCCAGCCCAGGTCCTCGCCTCAGGGTCGGCTGTGCCTGGCACAGGTGCCCCCCAGGGCCCCATGGCTGGGAGGCATCCCCATCTGAGGCAGGCTGGACATTGAATGTGAACTTCCCGAAGCCCCCATAGGGGCCGCCGGCAGCGTCTCTGCTCTGGAAGGGGTTGAGACGGCCTTGGACTGGCTCAGGGAATGTCCTGTGAGTTTCTGAGGGCTGGGTGGGTGGGAGGAGCAACAAAGGGAAAAGAATCCAGAGAGGGGCCTGTGGAGAGAGAAAGCAGGGCCCTGGCCGAGGTGGCTGGGAAGTGCCCGAAATGGCAGCTTCAGAGATGAGGCCAGTGTGGGGCAAGGAGCCGGGTGCTGCCTTCCCTGCCCAGGCCTTGTTGACCTCCCGCCGAGTAGCGCAGCCCTGTGCCCCCATCTCACCCCTGCAGCAGGAGCCTCTGCCACTGCCCCCGCCCCCCGCTACTGTCCTCCGGAGCGCTTCCTGCGCTGACTGTGACTTCCCTGTATCCCCGTGGATCTCTTTGTAAATGGATCAATGTCCTCTCTTGGGGTCTTGTGTTGCCAGGTAATCAGCACAGTGAGTGTGTGACAAATGGTAATTTGGATGAGTTTCACTGATGGAGAGATAAGAATGAGCCTTGCAGACTGAAGATCTTGTCCTAGGTTTGGAGTGGGTTCCTGGATGACGTGGTCCCTCAGATCCCCAAATCCTGGTCCAGGTCCTTCCCTGAGGCAGTGGGGACAGACACTCAGAGAGGTCTTGGGCCTGGGCCCTCTGCATTGTCATTGTCCTGTTTGTCTCTGACCCACACTGTGCTCAAGGCATTTGCCAATCTGAATTTATGTTATTTTCATAAGGGCCTCTATCCCTCTCCTGGAACACCCAGAACAAAGGAAAGGAAATCACCATTGAAGGCCAGCCTCAGGCAGGAGTGATTATGGGATATCCTAGTGAGTCTCCCCCACATGAGGTCTGTGTTCCTCCTTCTAGAACATAGATCTCGGTGTGGCAAAGCTGCAACATCTATGGGCATTGCCCCCCGATTGCACTGGCCTCAGTCTGGGAGGCTGTGAGGTGACAGGCCCCTGCTGTCCCTGAGCTCCCCTGCTTAGGGGACCTTGTCATTCTCATGGATCCATAGGCCCCCAGGCCTAAGCTTGATGCTCCCAGGGAGTGGCCTCTGAGTGGTCTCAGCTGACCACATGGCTCCACATTGCTGAGTGACACAATAGTGACTCCAGCAGCAAGGCTCAGAGTGAACCTGAGGGCAGTCCCCAGGCCCAGGGTCATAGCTGCTGGAGGGCACGGAAAGAAGGTGGCTGCGGAGACTCCAGCCATACAGAGGCTGTGAGGCCAAGGCGGAAGAGGGAGCGTGGCCCTGCAGTCTTCACGTTCAGCCCGGAAGGGCCAGGTTCTTCCCTGAGGCTCCAGGACCTCAGCTGCCCTCCCTGCCTCACTCAGAAGTCCTTTAATGTGTGATGCTGGGCTCCCTCGTGTCTGGCTTGGGAGTGTCTCCAGGCTTCTCCTCCCAACCCTTCGCCCCTGTACTCACCCTGGCCTTTCTGTGCTCAGGTGCCCAGTTCCAGGCTGTGTGGGGCTTGGTCACATCAGCGGAAAATACGCCTCTCACAGGAGCGCGTCCGGCTGCCCACTGGCCGCCCGCAGGCAGAAGGAAGGTTCCCTCAATGGCTCGTCATTCTCCTGGAAGTCCCTGAAGAATGAAGGACCGACCTGCCCCACCCCGGGCTGTGACGGCTCTGGCCACGCCAATGGGAGTTTCCTCACCCACCGGAGGTAACTGTGCCTGCAGGCCCTGCCCCTCTGCAGTCAGTAGGGACCCTTGCCTGGGGCCTGGGGCTGAAGCCAGACCAGGGCTCCGTGTGACCACAGTTTCTCAAGGGAAAGGCCAGGCCACATGGGTAGCGGATGGGGGAGGCTAGTGGGTCTGTTGTGCCAGGTGATGCTGTTGGTTATGTCTTCACCATGCGTCTTCCCTCATAAGCCACCCTTCCACAGCCTGTGGGAGTCCTTCCAGGCTGGGTGTTACGCTGGACACAGAGGCCACACATGAGCAGAGCCCTGGGTCTGACACGTTCTCTTAACAGGCTGACAACTTCTCAGGAAAAGTGTGTCTCCTACACCCTTTGCCCTGTGTCTCCCATGCACACCTCTTCTTTGAACTCTGGGCAGAGACCCCTGCCTGCTTTGCAAGGGAGCTGGCGACCCCTCACTGTCTGGCAGTGGCTTGGGCAGCACTCACCACCTCTCACCTGCCCTCCGACACCTGCTGTGGAGCTGAGGGACCTTGCTTCACCAGCCCCCACTTCCTGTGTGTGTCCTATGGCGACAATAAGTGCCTGATCCCATCAGAAACCCTGTGTCTGGGCCTAGGGCCAATGCTGACTCTTCATTCCCTCCCCTGTCCCTCCCCTCCCCCTTCCTCTCCCTTCTCCCTCCTTTCCTCTCCTCCCTCCCTTCCTCCTTCCCTTTCCCTCCCCTTTCCTCCCCTCTCCCTTCCCCTATCCCTCCCCATTTCCTTCTTTCCCCTCCCTTCCCCTCCCCTCTCCCTCCCCTTTTCTTCCTCTCCCCTTCCCTCCCTCTCTCCCCTCCCCCTCCCCTCTTCCCTCCCTCTCCCCTCCCCTCCCCTTCCCCTCCCCTCTCCTTCCCTTTTCCCTCCTCTCCCCTCCCCTTCCCCTCCTCTCCTCTTCCCCTCCCCTCCCCACCCCCTCTCCTCCCCTTCTTCCTCTCCCCTCCCTTCCCCCCTCACCTTCCCCTTCCCTTCCCTCCCCTTCCTCACCTTCTCTTCTTTTTCTTCACCTCCTCTCCCTTTTCCCTTCCTTCCTCCCCTACAAGATTAATTAACTCATTCATTCAACAAAAGCCTTTGCACCATGTACTCAGCCCTGGAAAGAGAGCAGAGAAGAAAAGGACAACTAACCCTTTTCCTTGTAGAGTGCATTTGGGGCAGAATAGGTGGGACAGCCTATAAACAAATAAGTACGTAAATGACAAAGAGGACAAGGAAGTCCTCTTTGAGAAGGAGGTAGCAGCTTGGCCTGAGGTGTCTGGGGCACAAGGCCTCAGTGAGGTGGCTGGAGCTGGGAACAGCCTGGTCCGCTGGACGAGGTTGGAGGTGCTGGGGGGCTGGAGCCAGGGAGAGGCAGCGAAAGGAAATGAGGTAGAAAGTTCTGGGCCAGGGCTTATCCGGCTGCCAGCTGGCAAGGACTCAGTGTTCACTGTGAGTGAGGGGCCTGGCAGAAGGCAGAGGAGAGACTAGATCTGGCACGGGCAGCTGGCATGGTCACAGTCGCAGAGGCCGGGAAGGCCACTAAAGGAGGCCACTGCAGCCAGGGTCAGGTGGGCAGAGACTCAGGCTGGGCTTCCTAAGGACGTCTCACTTGCCTCAATCAACCTTTACTTATGGTATGGATACAATCACTTCATAAAGGAAATCGTGCCTGAGAATGTACAATTTTAATGCCTTTTTCTGCTCGAGTGTCTGTATCTGAGGAGTGATCTGTGATTGTCGTTACCACCACATCCTAGAGGGTGTCTCAGAGGCAGAGTCAGCCAGGACCGGCTCCTCTGGGAGGTCTGGGCTGCAAAGCACAGGGAAGCGGGTCCTGTGGACCTCAGACCCCAAAGGGAGCCTTACCCAGAGCACCACTGCCCCGGCCCCTCGAGTATCAGGTAGGGCCAGCTATGGCTGTGCCAGGTGAGGTGAGCTCTGGAGTGTCCCCTTCCCAGCCTCTGCCCTGCCTAGATGTAGCTTCTTTTTCCCCGTAGAACCCAGTTTGGCCGTAGGGAGGCCCTCCGGGTCATCTAGGTGAGGTGGACATGCCTTCTGTTAACCCATAATGTGTGACCCTGGGCTGGTCATGGTGTCTGACCCCAAACTAGTTGTGGTGACCCCTAGACTATCCCATAGTGTGTGACCCTGGCCTTGTCATGGTGCGTGACCCTGGGCTGGCCGTGGTGGGTGATCCAGGGCTGGCCGTGGTGGGTGACCCTGGGCTGGTGGCTGCAGGTGACCCAGGCTGGGTCAGGCAGATGACCCTGCCGCCGGCAGGTGACCCTGGCTACGTGGTATGACTCTGGGCTGGCCGTGGTATGTGACTCTGGGTTGGCTGTGGTGGGTGACCCTGGGCTGGTCGTGGTGGGTGACTCCTGGGCTGGCCGCGGGTGGGTGACCCAGGGCTGGTCGGCAGATGACCCTGGGCTGGCCGTGGGCAGGTGACTCCTGGGCTGGGCTGTGGTATGTGACTCTGGGCTGGCCGTGGTATGACTCTGGGTTGCCTGGCCGTGGTGGGTGACCCTGGGCTGGTCTTTGCGAGTGACCCCAGGATGTTCATGGTGGATGACTCGGGGCTGGCGGTGGTGGATGACCCTGGGCTGGCCATAGTATATGACCCTGGGCTGGTCATGGTGGGTGACCCTGGGCTGGTCTTTGCGGGTGACCCTGGGCTGGCCGTGGTATGTGACTCTGGGTTGGCCGTGGTAGGTGACCCTGGGCTGGTGAATGATATGTGGCCTCTGCTTCCAGTTTGTCAGGCTGTCCCAGAGCAACATTTGCTGGAAAGAAGGGAAAACTCTCAGGGGATGAGGTCCTCAGTCCAAAATTCAAGACTAGCGATGGTAAGGATGGCTTCCTGAATTTCCCTGCTCATGACTGGGTGCCCGGGTGAGAGAGAGCTGTGCACCTTTTTGGTGGGAAGATGGCAGAGAGATGAAGCCCCTCCTGGAATGAGTCATGGCAGAGGCAGATCCCTTGACCTGAGCTGACAGCCTTTTGGACCTTGGCTCTGCAGCTCTTGACACCTGTGTCTGGGGCCCCTGGCCCTCAGGAGGTCATGCCTGCTGTAACCTGTGGCTTTGGTGACCACTGGGATCAGAGTCCAGTGGAGCCCACGTGCTATGATTTTGTGGAGAGGTGAGGCTCATTCCCACTTAGGTGAGGAAATTCAGCATCGCCTGAACAAACTTCCATCTTTAATGTAGCAATTAATATCTCCCAAAGAGATTTAAGCCTTTCCACCTGCCACCCAGCTCAGGAGGCAAACCATAAACACTCATCTCAGAATTTTCAAGACAGACAGACTTCTCCAGCACGCAATGTGGGGTATGAGCCCCAGAGAGATGAGCTCAGACAACCAGGAGGGGGGACCTCTGCTGCATGGGGGGTTGCAGTTCCATCTAGAAAGCAGGCTTCCCCACAGCACTTTGGCCCAGGCCTGCCTGAGGCCCAGAGCCACAGCTCAGGTTTCTCACTGGGTCAGTGTTGGAGAATGATGAGGAGATCAAGCAGCTGAACCAGGAGATCCGAGACCTGAACGAGTCCAACTCGGAGATGGAGGCCGCCATGGTACAGCTGCAGTCCCAGGTAGGTGTTGCCGCCCCCCACTCCTGGGCTCTTTGCCTTCCCAACCCAAACATTCATCCTGGGAACAGTGAGGCATCCGTCGGCACTCATCAAGGTTGCCGTCAGGGCTGAGCTGACGGACAGCGCAGTGCCTGGCACACAGGCACACTTAGGACGTGCTGGCCACTCACGTTGTGGTGTCTGTGAAGTCACACTGTGAGTGCTGGCGGGTCGCTGGAGCTGGTTGTCCCACTAGGGCTGTGGTCTCGTTAGCGTTAATAATACTGTTAATAATACTAGTCCCATTAAGATTAGCAGCACTGTCTCTCTTACTCTCATTAGAATTCGTCCTGTCAAGGCTAGTGGTCCCGTTAGGCTTACTGGTCTTGTGAGCACCAGCAGTCCATGAGTCCTTAGAGCCAGGCCTCTGGAGCCAGGTTTCTTCCCCAGCACAGCCACATACCAGCTGAGGGACCTGACAAACCTTTCAGCCTTTTCCTCCGTAAATGGAGGTAAGAACAGGATTCTACTCCAGGTTATTGCACAATGAACGCATTTCTATGAGGAAAACATTTAGCATAAGCACCTGATCCAGAGTAAGTGTGGTCAATGAGAGCTGCTGTTGCTGAGGAATAGGATTAGAAATTACTTCAAATGTTTGTGTCTTATTTTCTGATTTCCCTAAAATGAGCATTTGTAATCAGAAAAATAAAAGAAAAACACTAGAGATCTTATTTTGAAAATAAGAGCATGCCTCACCTGTGGCTGCTGAGTGGAGTCTGCGGCTGCAGTGGGGGAGTGGGCACACATAACTGTGCCCCTAACGGCTGGAGGGACAAAGGGACAAGGAAGTGACCAGGTCCCACAGGGAATTTGGGCAGAGCCCCTCTGGGCAGGGACAAATGGGGAGACGGCGGCCTCCACCAAGGCGGCAGAAAATGAGTGACATACTCCAGCCCCATGTGTCTTGTTACTCTGCTCTTGTCTCTACTGGCAAACAGGCTCATGTTGACCGCTTGTTACTCAAGAGCCTGTATAAAAATAGCATCACCCCACGGGGATCAGGAAGGATTTTCGTTGTCATGCACATGTCAATGCTGCGTGCCCCCAGGTTCATAGGCAGTGACAACAGAGAAGGGGCGCCGGCCCCGCTGGCAGAGCCATCCCCATCCCCTCCTGGTGTCTCCGAGTGTGGAGATGCACTGTCGTATGGGTGTCCCACTTTGTGCTCCCTGCTCCTCCCCTTCTCAAAGTCCTCAGAGCCTTCATCAGTGTCAGTGTCCTTGGGGTAGCACCTCTGATTTCTCTTTATTTGCCAAAACCAATCTTTTTAAAGACAAATTATTACCTTTTACTGGCATCCTTTTGGAAGGACTCAGAAGCCCCTGTCCCCTTGAGGGAGTTTGGTGAGTGGTGTCCTCTGCAGAAGGGCAAAGGCAAAGGGAAGGCAGGTCCCTGTCTCCCACGCAACCCTTTCAGAGCCACATGCTTGTCGCCAGGTGGCAGAAGAAGCGTGCTTGACCCCATCCACAGCCTCCCAGGAAGGAGCTCACCACTCCTGCCTCGTGTGTCACCCACACTGTCTTTCCGTGAGTGTAGCCTCTGCCCCCACGGCTCCCTGCAGATGTACAGTCTGGCTGGCAGCTGTTCCTGGACACCAAAGGCCTCAGGGCCAACGCAGCCCTGGGCAGGTTCACCGCCACGGTGGGGAAGTGAGAAGACTTGCCTGTGGTTGGCCTGGGGAAGACGTGCTTGGGAGGCCCTGAGGAGGCTCTCTGTTGGTCTTTCTGGTGAGGGGAAGACCCAAAGGCCGTCCGACACCCCACAGGGTGGGTGCAGTGATTCCCGTCTTACAGATAGAAGCAGGAAGCATGGTGGAGTCTGAAACTGAGACAGGGCGCTGTGAAGTCTGTGCTCCCACCCCATCCCCTCAGGACAGAGGGGCTCAGAAAACCAGGAAGGGGACCTCTGCTGCACAGGGGTTTCGGTTCCATCTAGAAAGCATGGTACAGGGAGACGTGCCACACAAGCCCCTTCCTGGCTTCCCTGGAGTCAGGCCATGTCTCCAGAGGGCCCTTGTCTTTCTCTCCTCTGGCAGCCCCTCACCTGTGGCAGGACACTTACAGGAAGGCAGGGTCCCTGCCCTTCCCCCACCCCAGGGTTCTGCATTCTCCCAGAGGGTTGTGAGAGGCAGCCCAGAGAGGACTCCCAGGAGGATGGGGGCCAAGGGCAGACAGCACTTCAGACCTCTCTCTGGCACAGATCTCCTCCATGGAGAAGAACCTGAAGAACATCGAGGAGGAGAACAAGCTCATTGAGGAGCAGAATGAAGCCCTGTTTCTGGAGCTGTCCGGCCTGAGCCAGGCCCTCATCCAAAGTCTCGCCAATATCCGCCTTCCACACATGGTAGGCAGCACGCGGACCTGCCGGCACCACAGCTGCCCCCCAGGGTCTCTCCGGAAAGCAGGAGGGCAGGGCATCTCCCACCCCCTCTGCCTCTGGGTCCTGCCCTAGGGGTCCTGTGCCCTGGTGGAGATTCTCTCTACCCCGAATGGCCTGGGCATTGGTTGGCTATGGTGGCTTTAGCCCTCCTGAGTAGCTAAGGAACCCGAAGCAAAATGGTGATTCCATCAGCAGAGAGGCTACTGCTGGGATGGCTGCAGAGAGAAACACTCAAAGCAACCAGGGCAGGGCAGCCAGTGCTGCCCCGAGTTGGTACGGGCTTGTCTCGGGTCACACGGGGGCACAGGTTTGATGCTCCCACATCAGGTTCTTTGGTGTGGGGCCCACTGCATGGATGGGGCTTGCTAACCTGGTTCTGTTCTCTAGGAGCCAATATGCGAACAGAATTTCGATGCCTATGTGAGCACCCTCACCGACATGTACTCCAACCAGGAGTGCTACCAGAACCCGGAGAACAAGGACCTCCTGGAGAGCATCAAGCAGGCTGTGAGGGGCATCCAGGTCTAGGCCGTGTGGTACCCAGGAGTGTCCCAGCCCACCACACCGTTTACCTCCCCCGCCCTGCCCCACACCGTGGGGATGCCCAACTCACAGTGACTTCCCGTTCGCGGCCCGGTGTGGCCTCGGGTGGGTTTATCCAAAGGGATGGCTGGAAATCAGCCTCTCCCACGATGCTCCCTCCAGGCTTGGGGCCGTGGCGGCCCCATCTGTGCGCACAGGGGCACCGAAGAATTACAAAGTGATTTATTTTTGTTTTCTGAAAGAAATCTGAAGAGCAGCTCAAAGTCTCCAGTGGAAGCTCATGGACAAGGTTCTCAGGGAAGTTTTGGAGTTTGCAACCACAGTATTCCTTTGTCTGTCGAGGCTGGGAGGGTAGCCGTGAGCGTGGTGGGCGGGTGGTGTGAGTGGCATCTTGGCCTGGAGGACATGCCCGGGGCAGCGTGCCTGTGCTCAGTGAGGGCGGCTGAAGCAAGTGCGTTTTCTGTTTTCATTTAATTCAGTTTTGTGTTAAGGGTGGAACAAAGCTCTGTCCCAGAGGGAAAGTTAGGAATGGGCCTCCCAGAGGACACTCCAGACAGTTGACAAGCATCGCAGCCCCTGTCAGGTCAAGGAATTTTAACCTGGGAGACTCCTGAAAATCAGCCTAGTGTCTGGGGGCAGCTGGCGCGCTGAGGCTCTGGAGATGTGTGTGGCCCTGGTCACAGCTCCCTGTTGGGGCTGCAGCCTTTAGACCCTAGGTCTGGGATCCACGTCCAGGGACCGCTCTGGCTTCTGTGCATCCACCCGGACCCCTGACCCATCACTGCCACATGATCCGGGTCGTGGCCAAGCTTGACCTCTGCATCCATGGCGACGGAGGTGGCAATGGCATCATCAAGGTCAGAGGGTAAATTCCTAACAGGAGACCACCAAGGTTTCACTTCTTTTAGATCCATCCAGTATGTGAAAAAAGGGTACATTTTAATTTAATGTGTTAAAAACACAATGTTCCTACTGTGTAAATAGAATCCAAGTCAGTTGTGACTGCAATTCCAAGTTAGTATTTAAAAGTAGAGAAATTGCACTTCCTGGAAAAAATTAAAAAGTAGTTAGTTTAATTATTCTGTAAATTATTTAATTTTGTCAAGATGTATTTATATTCACAACCTCTTATGTTAACGTTTGCTATTTATTTAACATTTTTATTTATTAATTTTATACTATTTCAACTAGACCCCACACCAGGGCACCCTAAGAGGGGAAAAGTGAATTCAAAGCAAAAATAACTATTTGACTATAATGTAGGCCACAAAAAATCTTGATATAACTCCTAGTTATAATTTTGATGCAACCAAGTTATTTTTTATATATTTTGTTATTTATTCTTTTAATAATGGAATTTTTTTAAAAAGTATTTTGTAACTGAGGAATTTTGATAATTTGGGGATTTTTTTCCCTTGGTCCAGTGGAGAGAAAGACGTTTTGGTTTTCTTTTTCCATTTTGGGTTCCTTTTGTTTTAAGCACGGATAACAGCAAATGGAATTCTGTATTTATTATTATTTAAGTGTAGCGCAGATGTGTGTGCTTGGGCATGTTTCTCGTGTCGCGTTTGCGTGTCGGCCCTTGCGGTGGAGTCCTGTTGCTGTGAGGGGGTGCCGGCCGCAGGCAGCCTCGAGTCGCCACTGGGCTCACAGGCTGTGCCGCCCATCCCTCCGACAGCTCCAATACTGTGACCCTCCTTCCTCAGGAAACGCGTTGAACCCACAGCACTCCATGGTGTGTTTGCAGGGTGATTTCCTAATAAAAGTCCACTCTGACTGTGAGTCGGTGCTGTGGTCTGTGGGGAGGACACTGTCTCCATTCCTGGTGGGCTCTATCATGCACCCTCCTGGGAGCCATTCCTGGTGGACTCTATCGTGCACCCTCGAACTCCTGTGAACTCTGCTCATTTACCCTCTGGGGCCATTCCTGGTGGACTCTATCGTGCACCCTCCTGGGAGCCATTTCCTGGTGGACTCTACCATTGCACCCCCTCCACCGGGAGCCATTCCTGAGTGGACTCTATCGTGCACCCTCCTGGGAACTTCCATTCCTGGTGGGCTCTATCGTGCACCCTCCTGGGAGCCATTCCTGGTGGACTGTATCGTGCACCCTCACAGGAGCTTTTCCTGGTGGACTGGTGGGCTCTATCGTGCACCCTCCTGGGAGCCATTCCTGGTGGACTGTATCGTGCACCCTCCTGGGAGCTTTTCCTGGTGGACTCTATCGTGCACCCTCCTGGGAGTCATTCCTGGCGGGCTCTATCATGCACCCTCCTGAGAGTCATTCCTGGTGAGCTCTATCATGCGCCCTCCTGGGAGCGCGTGGGCAGGAGGGGAGTCATCCATCTCTGGTCTCTCCTTGATACCACACGTGGGGCCCCCCTTGTGTCAGTTTAGCCAATATCTCCTTTTGAAACTACCCTTGCTCACCGCCTCCATGTGTGTTTCTAGAAGGTCTAAGTCACTCTATCTTGCCCCTTCCCACATGACCAGTCATTTGCAAATTGAAGTTTTTCCCAGGAGTCTTTTCTTAGGGTCAGGGAGAAAAAGTTTTCCTGCTGAGGTTGTTAGGCGTGGGGGCGTGGAATTGGGGTTTGCCTGGGCTCTCTCTCCTGGCCACAGGAGGAAGCCATCAGTAATAGGAGAGAGTTCAGACATTCTGGAGGTGGGCAAAGCTGACAACGGAGGTAGACGTGGAGGAGAAGAGAGCTCTCTGATGATCTTTTTAGAGCTCATGGACCCAGCCATGTCTGAAGGCACTCCACCCTTGAACTGCCCAGTTATGTAAGGCAATGGATTCTTTTTTTTTTTTTTTTCAAGCTGGCATACGAGGCCAAAAAGCCAATGCAAACCAGCTTTAAAAAAAAAAAGTGACTTCTCCCCTTTTTCATTTTTGTACTTTTGTGTCAGGTGGAGCTCTAGTGCTCCTAGAGCAAGACTTGGACTTGGGGCTTCTAGTCACATTCGGCCTAAACTGTCAACATGCTTTTGACCTCCCTGGAATCTGGCCCTGGTGGTAGTCCTGGAGCATTCATCTGATATGCAAACAAAGGATCCATCTTCACTGACAAATTCTTAGAAATTCTGGACTGAGTTTCCAACCTCTGTTGTAGTCAGACAGGGTCCGTAGCACCTGTGGAGGACATTTGATCTGCCTTCAGGGCTCCAACTGCTGGCTCTGGGGGCCCGAGCAGGTGCCAGTGCCTACTAGTGGGTCATGCAGAACCTGTTCAACTATGAGGAAGGGCTCCTGGGGGTCCCCTTTGGTGAGGCCCCATTTGTGACAGGGAGACCAGTGGCCTGGAGCTGTATCCCTTCACATCAGCACAGCAGATGCAGGGTGGGTGTGAGCAAGACCGAGTCTGCAGCGTCCCCTCAGCAAGCTGAGGTAAAATCATTCTGGGGGACATGAGAGTTGGCTGGAGAGATGGGGACTATGATGTTCCTGCTGGGGCCACAGGCTGTTACCATGATGTTAGAAAGCTGCACAATCCCACAGTTTGATAATGGCATGAGCTGGTCACCCCCAACAAGATTCTCTCACTTTTTGCTTTGAGGCACTGGCTGGGCCACCAGCCCACTGGGAGCTGGGAGAAAAAGTGTCTAGAGTCACAGGCATATGCTCTCTTAGGATTTATTTTTGGTATGGGACCCCACAGCTAGGCCTTCTCTACCAGCCTGCAGACCCTCCTGTTTACCATATCCAGAGAATAAAGCTCAAGGTTTCATCCAGAGGGAGGGGAGTGTTTGCCTGGCTCTCAGAGTCAGGGTGGAGTTCTGGGGAAGGGGGATACTGGCCCCCGAAACACTTTCTCCCAGTCGTCTTCTCCCATCTCCAGCAGAATTTGGTACCACCAGTTCTTGGAGGGTTCTGAGGTGTGGACAGTGTTGGTTCTGAACTTTCTACACTCTGGCCAGAATTCAGTGTTTTGGGTCTTCTAGCCCATTTATTTTGCATCTGTGAATTTTCTGGCTTCTAAATTGCTTTGTTGCAATTTCATCTCCTCGCTCCTGCCGAGTTATGCCTTAAAATCTGTCATTTTAGCCAGGTGTAAGAGACAACAAAGGTAAATACACATATACACCTGCTTTCCTTACCTGAATGGGTATGCTTCAAGCTGATGAGCACACGACTGTCTGCCTGAACAGACGGGAAGTCAGCTTAGTGCTGGGTCGACAACACCCCGTGAGTAATTGAAGCCTCAAGTTCAGGCGAGATTTTCCTATTAACCCCTCTGTCTCTCTGAAGCTGGTGGCCTCTCAGAGGCTGCTAAAGACATGGATGTGGAGGGTTTCCTAACCATCACCTGGCTGTGAATCCTGCAACACAGGCCATCTATGCTCCCAGGGGTTGTAGCCTCTGTGCCATTCCCTTTGCCGTTCTTAAAATATGGAGGTGGAGTGTGGACTTCTCTAACAGAGTCTTAAGTCTTCACAAGGGCACCCTTATCCATGATCGTGGGTGGCCTGGGCTGATGCCAGGCAGCTGACCTTTGGCAGAGCTATGCTCTGAGCCACTCTGGCCCTCACTGCACCCCAAGCCCACCACCCCTCCTGGCTGCTCCCATTGTCTCTGCCTCTCTTCCCTTCCTCTCAGGGTCTTCAGCATGCAGGTCTCCGTGTGTGCTGACTTTTCTAAAGCCTGGCCTCTCCTCTTCCGGCACCTGCTATGGCTCCCTCCTCCTCTCCCTCTACTGTATCTTCCTCCCATCTGCTTATGTGCTCCTGGCCTCTCCTCCTTCCTGATTTCCACCCTACCCTGCAGCTGTCCCAGCCCCTTTCTCCTCATTCCCAAAGCTGATGTCTGCTGTGTGCAGAGAACTCCCATACTGTCCCCCAGTCCTGTCTTCCCTGGCTCTGGCACCTTGTGGGTATGCACGTGGATGCCCCAGAGGCATCAGGACACATGCCTGGGTGAACACAACCGCCTGCCCGCCACTCCCACCTGGTCCTTTCTGGGCCCAGCAAGACACCAACCCCCATCAGCCCCTGGTCTTCAGTCACGCAGCTGAAGGTCACATGGCCACACGAGAGCCCCTGAGCACAGCTGCCTGATGTGCCACGTGAATGTGAATGCCCTGGGGAGCACCCAGCCTCTGCTGTGCCACCGCATGGCGCCAACCATAGAGCAGCTCTGACAAGGGCAGGTGTATGATGTGGGGGAAGACGGGATGGTTATTTTGGATCCTGGGGAAAGCCATGCAGGGATACATGTACAACAGCACAGTCTGTGCCCTGCCCACCATGTGGACACAGCGACTCCCCTGAGCTCCTAGAGAGCCCCTCCCAGTAGCTAGCGTCGCAGTGTCGCTGAGCTGTCTACTTGGGCTGACTGTAGCTCCTGAGAGCTGGCCACACCCCTGGCAGCCTTGTGAGCCAGTGTAGGGCTTGAGGGGCTCACTGGGAGCACCATGAAGTTGAAGGATGTGGCACAGTCTCAGCCCTGAGCACCCACCACCCCCAGGATGAGAAACCTTGCTGGAGGGGAAGGGTGCCTGTGAAGCCTTGCCACCCCCCACAGGAGCCCAGGAGCAGGAGGCTGAGCAGCAAACCGCAGCCACCACTCCAGCACCCAGCGGACCCTCTTCATGGGGCGCATTCATCTCTGCTCATGGGGCAGCTTTTGCCAAATGAGACACACCTTTGCCTGTTGATTTCACTCACTGCCAAAAGTGTTTTCCTTGTCTTTAATCCTGTCACCGCTCTCTCTGTAGAAGTTGTCAAAATAGCAGAAGTCAGACCTGGTAACGTTTATGGCTAAAGCTGGTGAGGAGCCATGTGAGAACCAGCCCTGCTGCCTAGGAAAGACCAACCGGAAGTGCTACAGGTTCCACCCTGTATCCCCCTGGGCCACTGCTTGGGACCCCTGGGGGGTGGATAATCTCAGAACCCATCAGGCAGCAAATCTAGAAGGGCTCCATGATGGCTGCCCTAACTCCCACCCTGCATAGAAGCCCTACTTGGCTCAGCTCTGAGTAGATAAGGAGAAAAAAGACTGACCATTGTTGCATCTTACCCCTTTCTACACATATGGGCTCCTTCCACCTCTCAGCCACCTGTGATACAGGCAATAGGACTGTCCCCATCATTGCAGGGGAAGGAACCAAGGCCCAGGGAGGCCCAGAAGGCTGCTCAGAGCCGCACAGGTTTGCCTGCAGGCCCCTGACTCCAGAGCTGGTGCCTTGGGAACCACATGATGGTGTCTGTAGCAGGAGGAGAAGAGCAGATCCTTGCAGAACAGTAGGATCCAGTGGGTATCCAAGGGGCCAAGGGAGAAGGGGCTGCTATGGTCCTTAGTCCAGTGGGAAGGGCAGGAGGCGCCTGGAAGAATCTGCCTGGGCAGGGAAAGATGGGCGCTCACTGCTGGGTTGCTCCAGCCTCAGGAGAGTTGGGAACCATCTGGGTCCCCAGTCAGGATGCCTGAAGAGGAGGCCAGGGGAGGCCAGGTAGATGTCATTGCCTCCGGGGACAATCTGATCATTCCCCAGGGCAGGTAGGACTGGCTGGAGACCACTAAGGCTCCTCGAAATGGAGTCAGATTCTCCAGCCTCATCTGCCTCCGTATTTGGTGAAGAGAGCTACAGAGAAATCATGGAGAAAAAATGGGGCACAATGTGGTCAGGGATGCCCCTCCTGAGGGGATTTGCACTTGAGCTGAGGGAGGCGTAGGCCAGCCCTAGGGGTGTCTGGGACAGGGGCAGGGACCCTGGTGGGAGGGAGGAAGGGTGCCGGCCAGTGGGGCTGGCCAAGGGGCGGGGCAGCGGGAGGCGTGAGGGATGAGG